TACATAACTGTATTGTCAACATTCATAAAATCCTTGAGATTCAAACTAATTAGATTTTACTGAATAATTAAATAGATTTTGATTGATTGAAATTTAGATCTTACATCAAGACCGTGCCCCCCCCCCTCCCTTAGACAGGCCAAACTTTTGCTGAGGTTATACAAAGATCTGGTCTAAGATTACCATTATCTTCAATTTTAAATCAATTAGAACAAGTAATTTGTAAAGTGTAAAATAAATCTAAAGATACAGAGATTTGCCCATACACTTACTCAGTGATTATGTCATGACGATACTTAGCAATAGCAGTATAAAGTTGACTAGCCTTATATATACAAAAAGTAAAAACTAAAAAGAAAACTATTTTTATGACCAGATACATGCTTTCAGATCTGGAAACAGTACAGTACAGCACGGCACGGCACAGCACAGCACGGCACAGCACAGTATAGTACAGTACAGCAGAACATTCATGGAACAATTTTTATTGTTGCCAATTTTATTTGTAGACAATTTTTGTTGTTGCCTAGGCCACGAGGTACCTGAACCACATCCCATTATCTCCTAAAGGAGAAGCTTCTCAGTTATAAAGACAACCTTGTTGAAGCCTATCTTAAATGATGAAGTTCTTGTCTCATATTTACAACATGGTAATGCTGTAATGCCTATATGCCTATCCAAGAAAAAACTATTATCATAGAATGAGAAGTTTTGATTTCATTTACAGTAAAACCTGTTTAATCTTTACACCTTTGGGGCCAGCTAAAAGTGCTTAGATTAGAAGGTATTCACATTTCAAGGTTTTATAAACAAAAATAAACATGTATGATAACAGATTTGGAATCGTATTCATATTTCTCACTGAATTTAGCACTATAGAGATTTTGTACCTTATGGATGTATAAAATTCTGAGATTTCAGGAGTGATTTGTTAGTAGTCTTTAAGACTAGTAGTGGTGTATAAGACTGATGAAGAATGATGTATTAGTGGTGTATTCTAAGTGTATTACATGCTCTCTGATTGGTCAATAATTTTTATCTCATTTGCATGGTAATTTTTTCAACTAATAAACCACCTGTTAAGTCAAGGGCAAAAAGTGGTCTGTTAACGAAAATCACCACTAACAAATCACTTATAGAACATTTTCTACCAGTTGAGTATTAGTAGTCTATTGGTGGTTTTATAAGAGTGGTATGGCAAGCTGTTTTCTCACTTGGGTAAAAATTCTACTTGGGTAAAATTTCACGTGAGTAAAAATTAAAAGTTGAAGAGGTGATGATAAAATTTATGCAGGATCCATCCATCTGTCCACCCACCCAGAGACAGATGTAGACAGGGACAAGGTCATCGGCACAAGATGATGATGATGACCAATATAGCACTTTGAAAAAGTGTGATAAAAAGCGAGAACATCACAGACCATGTATGTAAATTCACCATTTTAGCTGGTCTGGTGATTTTAGAACTAATGAAATTCATAAATAACAAAAAGCATTTTTATTCATGATTAATAGAAGTGGTGATGTGATTATTTATGAGGAAAGTGAAATATCGGGAATCACAACCATCGCATTACTTGAAATTTTTCAAGCTGTGCTTTAATAAGAAATGATTTTTTCAGTGGGAGTTAATTGGAAATATTATCCTTGATAACTATTGTTATTCATTTTGGTATGGCCAACCAGCATTTTCTATTTCATTCGCTACATGCATAAGAGATGAGAGTGGGTATGATACAATCTGATGTTCAGATCACAACTGTCTTCTCCAATATAAAAGGCAATCAAATAGAAACCAGAGGAAATGAAAAGACACATGGCAGTCAGTATACATACCTTCTGGTATTCAATTTGTACTTTTCAATATATTTATCTCACTATATCAATATTAGTTTATAGTAGGTGACATAGAATTTGTTGAGATAGTCTTGCATCAAGTCTCTGGATCCGCTTCACATCACCTGGTGGTGTGTCGGGACAGGAGGGGCTTCACAAGGGCTTGACACATGACTTTCAAATGTATTATTAATAATGTCTAAAGTAAAATCAAAATCTTAATGAAATAACATGGTCTCAAAATCTTCATGTCCATCATGTAAAAAATACAATACAAACACATTCCTCACATTTATATGCATACTTTTATTGAACATTTCCATACATAATGTTGTACAGGTGCTTGAATAGAGTTTAACACAGTACAAAGACCCTTTCAGAAAAACATAAAGGCTAAGCGTGTTAAAAATCATTAATAATAAAAATGTTAAAAACATAATGACTATCGTATGTAGTCTTACACTGAGTCTTGAATAAATAATCTATGTGCCATTGTAAGTATGCAATTTAAGAAAATAGAAAAACAGACAATATGGTGTTTTTGAAATAAACAATACATTGAAGAAAAAACATATTTTGCAGATAGGCAATAATTAAATAATGGTGTGATTGCAATTGTTAACAATACCGTAATATTGTGTGCAAAAATGTTCATTTAAATCAAATTAAACTCATTGCACCTTTTATCATTCTGATACTCATATCATCATTCTATCTCCGAACTGAGAAGAAATAAGATGTCATGGTTTATCATGATGTCTTTTATGATAAAATCATATTTTCAAAAGTGCTAGGCCTACACCATAAGTTTCAATGATTATTAAACTTTATAATGAAATTTTGTCAGATCTATCTTTTGCTCTTGTCTCTAGATTTCTAATTTATTTTTAACCAGATCTTAATTATTTTAATGTAGCTAAATATGTAGGATGCCCACAGGTATGTGGCCCCAAGAAATCTATTTTCAAAAAAATACATATTAATATTTTCAAAATTTCACAAATCAGATCTTTATAACACTGGGTGAGAATACAATATAATTGCCCTTCTTTAAAATTGGAAGATCGCTACAATTGTAAATAATTGAAAAATAAAATCGCATACAAATCATCAGTCAATATTTTGAGTCGATCTTATGTAATAAAAGAGTATAACAGGTTCATATACTGATACTGTACACCAAAATAACTTACATTTTGGAGTCAGGTTACATTTTTGAATAATATCTTTAAAAATATGAATAAGTACCAAAGTTTAATTGAACATATTTCAATATAAGATAATGGATAACAAGCTTGGTTTTCTGATATGCAATGGCATAGAGACGAAATCACAACTCTCCTTTCTTAGGATTGAAATGATCAGTAAATCCTCATATTTAATATTCAATATTGGTAACAAATATTTAGAATGAGCATGCAAGGTCACTATATTTGAATATCACAAATATCAAATTAGCCATTCAAATATTACCTCAAACCTATTTGCTACCAAGTATTTGGCTACGTATTCATTTCACCCCTAATAAATAGAAGACAGCAAAAAAACAGTCAGAAACAAGGTCTTACTCACAAACAATTATTTGTTATTTGAATCAAAATGAAAATTGGATTGGATGTAAAGTTTACATAACTGTATTGTCAACATTCATAAAATCCTTGAGATTCAAACTAATTAGATTTTACTGAATAATTAAATAGATTTTGATTGATTGAAATTTAGATCTTACATCAAGACCGTGCCCCCCCTCCCTTAGACAGGTCAAACTTGTGCTGAGGTAACACAAAGATCTGGTCTAAGCTTACCATTATCTTCAATTTTAAATCAATTAGAACAAGTAATTTGTAAAGTGTAAAATTAATCTAAAGATACAGAGATTTGCCCATACACTTACTCAGTGATTATGTCATGACGATACTTAGCAATAGCAGTATAAAGTTGACTAGCCTTATATATACAAAAAGTAAAAACTAAAAAGAAAACTATTTTCATGACCAGATACATGCTTTCAGATCTGGAAACAGTACAGTACAGTACAGTACAGTACAGTACAGTACAGCACGGCACAGCACAGTATAGTACAGTACAGCAGAACATTCATGGAACAATTTTTATTGTTGCCAATTTTATTTGTAGACAATTTTTGTTGTTGCCTAGGCCATGAGGTACCTGAAGCACATCCCATTATCTCCTAAAGGAGAAGCTTCTCAGTTATAAAGACAACCTTGTTGAAGCCTATCTTATATGATGAAGTTCTCATCTCATATTTACAACATGGTGAACCTCTTGAGCTGTAATGCCTATATGCCTATCCAAGGAAAAAGTCATACACTATTATCATAGAATGAGAAGTTTTGATTTCATTTACAGTAAAACCTGTTTAATCCTAACACCTTTGGGGCCAGCTAAAAGTGCTTAGATTAGCAGGTACTCACATTTCAAGATTTTATAAACATGTATGATAAGAAATTTGGGAATGAGAAAAAAATGTTCACATTGAGAGGTGTTCAGATTAGAGAGATGTTAGGATATACATGTTTCACTGTAGTTACTATACCATAAGTGGTTACGCTGTACTGTACAGTAGTCAATGACTAAATGTTTATACAATGTATGGATGTCAAATACTCAACCCTAAACAGCTAGAATCACAATAGGTTCCGAGGAATGGACTTATTTGACACCCTGTAATATTAGCATAGTTCATGTAGGATTTGAAGGATCTTCATAGCTAAATAATTACAATTAATCATTACATTTATTTAGCTTATTTACAAATAAGCATCTGAATTACACACAAATAAATGTTTGATATAATATTATACAAATACTGCAACAATTAGATCTTTTAATACAAATTTTCTGACATCCATGTGTAACCTTCTGTAAAAAGTAACCTTCTGTAAAATGAAATATTCTTGATTTGGCATGTTTCAAAAAGAATTCACAGGAAATTATGATTGTGATTCTTAAAATCATAAATAAAATAATCCCATGTAGCCTCTTATAAATTCAGAAAAACCTGTACCTTGCACAATACTGTACTTCTACTTAATTTGGTGCAACCTATTTTGGTGGATTTGCTGTTTTCAACAATTGGCAGCTTCTTTCACTACTTTCACTATTTTACATTGTACTTTAAAATAACTGGGAATTAGGTGGCTACTTAATTTGGGGGACTTGAACAGTTTTTCACCAAATTAAAATGGCAGCCAAATTAAGTAGAAGTACAGTAAACATACTTAGTTACAAACCTTCAATGAGGAAATTATCAGATCAAGCTTCACAGTAGGTCTCGAATTTGTTAATAACATTGGTTTTGTTCTCATTATCAGACTCCAAAGGTTGTGTCTTTGGCAAGTATACTTGTCAAAGGTTGTGTCTTTGGCAAGTATACTTGTCAAAGGTTGTGTCTTTGGCAAGTATACTTGTCAAAGGTTGTGTCACTGGCAAGCATACATGTCAAAGGCTGTGTCATTGGCAAATATACTTGTGATATAACTCCCTTGAAGTTGAGATGTTTCACATGGTGTTAAAATGGGCTTTCAAAGAAATATTTAATTCAACTAAATAGGTTGTGTCCATTGGGACCAGGTATTGATACACCACACTTAGATATAATAAATAACATCAAAGTAATAGCTCCCAGTACACCTCCAACAATCGCGAAAGCTATAGATGAACTCTTCACACTATTTGTGAAATATGCAGGAGCAAATAAACAAAGGAATGCTGTGGCTCCAGTAAGTGTATATAAGATGGATACACTAGTGTTAATTGCAACTATCTCACCAAACTTAGCAAATGGTTGAATGTTTGTTTGGGTGAGTGGTATGGCCGCTATAATAGTAGTAACTGCACTACTGAGTATAGAGACACCTATATGAGCTATGGCAGCCTTTGTGCGCCAGCGCCGCAGGTACTTCTTGCTCTGAAATAGATAAACATGTAATTTAATTCTGTTCTATAGACAGTACTTGATGGATAAAAATTTAATATGACCTTCACATATGTTTCAAGCACATGCACATTCTATACACTGTAGTTTCAATCACACTTTATGGTTCCACTTATTTTGGGATTTTCTTGATGTTCTCTTGAAGCATTACTTGAAGAAGAAAATTGGATCATATGAGGGGTGATCAGGAATTTCTGGACCGTTGGCTCTATTTTTGCCATTTTTTATCCTTTCTTAGTGATTTTTTCACACAATTTAACCCAAACCCTATGAAGATGAGTATTTTCTTGTAAGACACTGAACTGGCTATGCATTATACATCTTTAATAACAATGATCTTGTTAAAATAGCGTATGCCTACATATTTAAGCACTGCAAATACACATACCACAAGAGCCTCTGTTGGGGGACTGTTGCCTGCCAGTAGGTAGCCCTCCACTAAATGTACACAGTAGTCCACAGAGGACCCCACGAGTATAGAGAGGGACACAGCCTCCACTGCCCCCATACGCCATCCAGCCATGTAGAATATGGCAACTACTAGGCAAATCATACCTACAAGTACAGTGTAACTGTTATTATGTGTGTTGTAGTCTTGTTTGGTCAATTGTATTTCATTCTGCTATGCACAATTATCTATTTAAAAAACTTGAATAAAAGTGGAACACCTTTGTTGCCACTTGGGAGGTGCTCCACCTACAAGTATATAACGTCCATGGCAAATTCTGACTCCATATGCCTTTATTTTTATTTCATCACTAATACTGTGTTACTGATTGGTTTTACCATTATAAAACAAGACATTACAAGACTTACCTAGAATTGTGAAGAAAACAATAAGAAGTAGTAGAGGATGTCCAGTAAATATTGCTACAGCCGCTACACATATAATCATAGAGAGAACCAAGCCATATATAGCACTGCTTACAGCTACAACCTCCATCATGACCTACAACACATATAATCATAGAGAGAACCAAGTCATATATAGCACTGCTTACAGCTACAACCTCCATCATGACCTACAACACATATAATCATAGAGAGAACCAAGCCATATATAGCACTGCTTACAGCTACAACCTCCATCATGACCTACAACACATATAATCATAGAGAGAACCAAGCCATATATAGCACTGCTTACAGCTACAACCTCCATCATGACCTACAACACATATAATCATAGAGAGAACCAAGCCATATATAGCACTGCTTACAGCTACAACCTCCATCATGACCTACAATATATATAATCATAGAGAGAACCAAGCCATATATAGCACTGCTTACAGCTACAACCTCCATCATGACCTACAACACATATAATCATAGAGAGAACCAAGCCATATATAGGACTGCTTACAGCTACAACCTCCATCATGACCTACAACACATATAATCATAGAGAGAACCAAGCCATATATAGCACTGCTTACAGCTACAACCTCCATCATGACCTACAACACATATAATCATAGAGAGAACCAAGCCATATATAGCACTGCTTACAGCTACAACCTCCATCATGACCTACAACACATATAATCATAGAGAGAACCAAGCCATATATAGCACTGCTTACAGCTACAACCTCCATCATGACCTACAACACATATAATCATAGAGAGAACCAAGCCATATATAGCACTGCTTACAGCTACAACCTCCATCATGACCTACAACACATATAATCATAGAGAGAACCAAGCCATATATAGCACTGCTTACAGCTACAACCTCCATCATGACCTACAACACATATAATCATAGAGAGAACCAAGCCATATATAGCACTGCTTACAGCTACAACCTCCATCATGACCTACAACACATATAATCATAGAGAGAACCAAGCCATATATAGCACTGCTTACAGCTACAACCTCCATCATGACCTACAACACATATAATCATAGAGAGAACCAAGCCATATATAGCACTGCTTACAGCTACAACCTCCATCATGACCTACAACACATATAATCATAGAGAGAACCAAGCCATATATAGCACTGCTTACAGCTACAACCTCCATCATGACCTACAACACATATAATCATAGAGAGAACCAAGCCATATATAGCACTGCTTACAGCTACAACCTCCATCATGACCTACAACACATATAATCATAGAGAGAACCAAGCCATATATAGCACTGCTTACAGCTACAACCTCCATCATGACCTACAACACATATAATCATAGAGAGAACCAAGCCATATATAGCACTGCTTACAGCTACAACCTCCATCATGACCTACAACACATATAATCATAGAGAGAACCAAGCCATATATAGCACTGCTTACAGCTACAACCTCCATCATGACCTACAGCACATATAATCATAGAGAGAACCAAGCCATATATAGCACTGCTTACAGCTACAACCTCCATCATGACCTACAACACATATAATCATAGAGAGAACCAAGCCATATATAGCACTGCTTACAGCTACAACCTCCATCATGACCTACAACACATATAATCATAGAGAGAACCAAGCCATATATAGCACTGCTTACAGCTACAACCTCCATCATGACCTACAACACATATAATCATAGAGAGAACCAAGCCATATATAGCACTGCTTACAGCTACAACCTCCATCATGACCTACAACACATATAATCATAGAGAGAACCAAGCCATATATAGCACTGCTTACAGCTACAACCTCCATCATGACCTACAACACATATAATCATAGAGAGAACCAAGCCATATATAGCACTGCTTACAGCTACAACCTCCATCATGACCTACAACACATATAATCATAGAGAGAACCAAGCCATATATAGCACTGCTTACAGCTACAACCTCCATCATGACCTACAACACATATAATCATAGAGAGAACCAAGCCATATATAGCACTGCTTACAGCTACAACCTCCATCATGACCTACAATATATATAATCATAGAGAGAACCAATTTCCATAGAGAGGTCTCGAAGTGGGCAGTACCAAATCAAAGTTGATAACAAATCAAATCTTTGTCATAAATCATAGTCTCAAGGTATTTTGTACAAATGCTAACATAAGAGTAAACCACACTTCAACTCCACATATTCACACGTAAATAGCATTCAGGATTCAAACATACCTAATAGATACAAGATCATATATTCAGATTATTCCCAACATTGTGATATCACTTGTACGAGAATCATATCTAAACAATTGTAATTTAACACGGATTAACTTAAAATTGCTATATTTACCGTTTTCCAGAACTCGGACGTCTGAAAGAAGTTGTGTAAAGGAGAATCTGGAGCTAAGACATCCTTTTTAATTTGCCGAATAAACTTCTCCCAGTCTTGGTATTTCTGATATGCCTCAAAGTATGACAGACCTTTAGCTGTAGTCTACAAAATAAATGCTTTACATTTGATGTTTCATTGTATACAGATACTCTGCTGCCGAAAAGCAATGCAATAATTATTTTACTACAACTAGCTTTCAATGATATAGTAATTATTTTGTAACCAGGGTTACTATAAGTATTAAAATGGGTGGGTTTGCCTTTTTAGACTTTTTAGAGAAGTTTTAAATTTGTAGATTTTCTGTAACTTGTCAACTTGCCACACTTAAAGTTTTTCCTTTGATGTGCCTTTCTCATAAGGGTTGACCATTAAGGCCTTACCACATCAGTTTAGAAGTGGAATGGTTTATGAAAAAACACAGATGAAGCTTCAAAAAGCCAACAATAATTTCACTGCAAGGAATTTCTTGAAAATGTGTCACTTCATATCACAGTCTTTCTGTTTTAATACAATGTTTTTTTCTATTTCTGGGTTTCAGCCCATGTTTTATAATCCACACCACACATACTCACAGATTCATAGGCAAATGCCAGCCATTTTACACTGTTTGATGTACGGTTGATGTAACCAATGGATTGTGCAGGTAGTCTTCTACCCTTGAAGACATTTGCATTGTCTGGTAAGTGCTGGCATTCTGGGACACTCTTCAGGGCAATTTTCATGGCGGCGGGTATTACTGGAATCATCAAATTATTTTCTTTGCCAGACAATCACATTATTTACAATCAACTTTCACAATTACTTTAATTGGAAATCAAAAACTTATTAGCCTTTTGAAGTGGCAGCCATTTCGAAAAAAAAATTCACACAACAATTTACCATTATACATTTTTCAGCCAAATATGAAGAAAATCAGTTTACTAGTATTTGAGTTATGCTCCAGACAGATAGACTGACAGTGGTTTTCACTACAATTCATTTGGACAATAATTCTATACTTTAACTATAACTATAATCTGTTTTCCCATTTTATAATTGCAATGTTGTGTGTTTTCACTTTAACTATGAAGGGTCAAAGCTACAATAGCCACAAAGGCTATGAAATAATTGTATGCGATTAATAGATCATATATCTATCTAAATATACAATAAATATTATATATAATGTAGAAAAGAATCCTACCATTGCCATGTGGCAAACACTGTGTTGTATTGGGTTTTGTCAGTTTGGTATTATTGGCAAGCAATTTGCAGATTTTACACAACTCTCCCAAAGCTTTGACATTCAGTGTAGCCATAGTGAATGCCTTCTCAAACTCTGGGTCATACATAAGTTTACCCTGAAAGGAAATAACATTATAAATAAACCTAGAAATGCACCTAAAACATACATAAAATAGACCTTAAAAATGGACCTAAACTCGCGTATAATGCATCCCTCAAACGGTTTGGCTATAGAGATTTACAACAAATGTTGCCCCCCCTTGTTTGATCTTGGTTGTATCAGATATCATTGGAAAGGTTATTCCATTCCCAATATTTTGAGCTTAGTTATAACTACATCATTATTGATGACGAAATTCATTTTCTTAGAACATAGGGGTTCATCATTTCAAGTCAAGACTACTGACAATTTGGGTATTTCAACTTTGACCAGCTCTAACTTTCCTCCTATGAGCATTTTTTCCCTAAAACATGCCCAATTCAATTTTAAGAAAAGCCAGAAAGTTCCGGATCAAAAAACAAACTACAAAAAAAGTTATAAAAAATTCATAACCGTTTAAGGATTAAGTGTACAGTCAAATACATACCTTTGATGTAAAAACATGAGCATTTGAGATGTTAGAGCGGTCAACCCCAACTATGCCAAAGACCACATGAATCACAGCTGTAGATTCAATATGGGGTCGTTCCTTTAGATTATTACACTTCTGGTGCTCACAAGGTTTGTAACCACTGGAGGCTGAGTCTGAATTCTTGGGTGGTAGGGTGATAGAGGGAACAGATGAGGTTGGACGTGGTTCCAGTGGTGGAGAGTGTTTGGGTGCTTGGGTCGGTTTTGGTGTTTTTCTATCTTCATGGTGTCTGGTTGGTCCTGAAAGTGAAACATTAATGAAAACGTTGGATATCGGTTACTAACATAATGTTAGTGCTATGAACTGGAGAATAAATTTGGGTAGCCATTTTCGATTTCCCAAGGAACACAATAAAACTAATGAATATTCAATTAGCAATCTTCTAAGTACTATTTATACCCTTAATTTGAATATACTTGGAATAATGAGATGCTGTTTCAAAACATAAATCTAGAAAAGAATACTATGGCTCACTAATTGTTGTTGTTGTTGTTGTTGTTGTTGTAGTCATCAAAGTTGTAGGTTTTCTGGTTTGAGGTTTTGTCTTAGCATCTACACTAGATGTCAACCAGGGCCATTTCGTAGTTTTCAAAGATGAAGCCTCTGTTGTTTGAATAGGACCCTTAGTGGTTGAAGGCTTCACAGTTGAAGGTACAACAGTGGTAGGCTGAACTTTGACTGGTCCTAAGGTTGGCTTCACTGGAGGGTTGGTCCTAACTGTGGTCTTGTCAGTATTACCTACATACTTTGGATTCTCCTGAAATGTTCATGTCAAAGGCTTTTGTATTGTAATGGTTTAAAACATGTAAACATCACATCAATCAAATAAATTAGGCTTTAATTCCTCAACCTTATATTGTTTTAAAACTTATCTGCTATAATTTGTACAGCTACAAACAATAGAAATGATGTCACTTGTTAATTGATACAATAAAACATGTATTAAATAAGAAATAAAGTCTAGCTTGACTTGCTAGCACCCTGGTTCGACTGTTCAGCCAAATCTACACTATACACCCTTTGTTCATCAAAGAAGATATCTTACCTCATAATATCCAGAACATCGATCACACGAAATGGATTTATCACTCATATTCACTGCCAGGTCTAAGAGTTGTTGTAGGTTGGTACTGGAGGCAAACAACTGAGGAGGTTTAGTGGCAGGCTTCAGCTGGACCATCAGACCAATGGACACACCCAGTATTACAATATACAGCCCTGTAATAGTCAATAATATTTCTGAGTGATATTTCTGAGTGATATTCTGAGTGATATTAATCTTCCATTGAGCGTAAGCAATTAATAAGATCCTTTGGCCAATAGTCCAATTTTAAAACTTCTCATAGTTCCATGTAGTAAATCTCTTGCAGGTTAATGGTATGAGGGACATACAGTATTTCATAAAAACGACTCACCTACAATTACCCATCTAGCCTTGACAACAGGGGTAGCAATGTAGTAGTACATTGCAGCCTGAAGCTTAGCAATCATGTTACAGCCTTCCTTCTTGCTGGTGCTTGGAAGGGGAGTCCTGATTGACAGATCCCAGTTCAAGTCCAATGGCATATCATCTGTGTCAGAGAGGAGTGCTGAAACATATTTAAATATTACACAAAGCTATATTATATAAAATCACAACCAATTTACATCTTATCCTGTAACGAATTCCTGTAAATGCGACAAAAAATTATTTTTAAAATGTAGTGAAAAATAAAGGTTCTGGGAAGGATATGCCATAGTTACAGTTTTCATACACATTTCTATAAAACAATTTTTTATTCAGCAGAGGCTTGTCAAATTAATCCTCTAATTGCACAAACAGACTGCCATTTGAACCCTACCTTGTTCATCAAATTCATCAAGGGTCAGCATAGGTACATCATCACTGTCAGATTCAGAGCTAGCAATTGTTGGCTGCTGTTTGCCTGCATCCAAGAATTGCTGGATATCCGGTGGCAGCTCTAACCCAGAGCTTCCTTGACACCTGCCTCTACATCTGCAAAATACAATAAAATACTATAAGTCTTATGTGTATCCTAATATTTGTATTTGGTATATATTATATTAGCCAAGTTTTTACATCCATTTCAATGATGTAACCAATTACAGCATTGTTTAAATTAAGATTCAAACATGACCGTGCTCTATTCGAATTTCTCAACCAATCAGAATGCAGCATAGCCAATATAGAACGTTCTCTAATTCTCCATAGATGCACGACCATGCTCTATTCAATCTGCAATTTGCATTGTTTTGAGTGACGTCACATCTCAGCTGCACATCTGGGGCTCTGTCCGGGGATAGCTGTTCTTTTTTACTCCCTCCGTAACTACTGTAACTATTTAACTATGGCTGACTTGCATACACCGTATAAAATCTAAAACGGGGAGTAAAATAGAACAGCCCAAACAAATTCTAAAATTTTTCCGGCCGACTTCAGAATCTTGACAGCATGCATATTCTTCCTTCATGCCCGTTCCACAGACACGGCTTTTACTAATTTTTATGTTTGAATCGGAATAAATAATGATAGGCCATTCAATATGGTGAAATTCAGCACTCGTTGGACAGAATGTTAGTACAAATGCACTCACCTTCGGTTCGTGCTTTGTACAACATTCTGTCCAACTCGTGCTGAATTTCACCATATTGAATGGCCTATCATTATTTATTCCTTAAGTCAGAAACAGAGGCATGTTGCAAAAATGATAATACTGGCAATTTTCAGTCCCTCTTTGACATTTAATGATGATCTAATCCATATAATAAATGAGATTGAACTTACGGTTTGAAGCAAAAAGCCTCACACTTGGAGAAACATCTATGCCAGATAATGAGAGCACATGGCATATTAATCATCACCATAATCCAGCAGCCAGACACAATGAGGGCCATGAACAGTCCAAATTGATGCACAGCAGGGATCTACAAGTAAAACAATTAGGCTTGTGAGAACAGGACATGTCAATCATCAATATAATCCACACAACTAGTCTCCTAGTTTCATGAGTTTCAAAGAGTTACTGTAAAGTTATAAAATTATGAGTTGCGTTTCTCAAAACTTTGTAACAACTATACTGTAGAGTATACTCAATACTGTATTTAGTAAGTAAAGAATGATAAATGATATGACATCTATAGTTTATGATTTTAGTTGCCATCTCATATCAGTGATATGTTACATATAAAACTTGTCTAATCTGAATGCCGCTAGAATCAGCAAGTGTCTGTATTAGGAGTTGTTCATATTTCAAGTTTCTTAATATGTGAGTGGATGGAAGGCAATAAAAAGTATTCATATTAACATGTGTTTGGACTGGAGAGGAATTTTATATGCAGATGTTATTGTATAATGAAACAAGCTGTACCACAGAGTTTATGAATATTACAGGAAATATAAAAAGAATTCATGATATGCGTTTATTTACAACATTTATTTCAATAGTATGCATAGTTACAATATATATATTAGATTTGTAATTTTATATTTGATCAGGAATGATGTGGCCAACATTTGAAATCACAAAAATGAATGTTTCTTGAACCGATACATCTGTGGTAAGAGCATAACCAAAATGTACTAATAATACACCATAGATGGGTTTTCAGCACAGCTAATTGGGAGAAAACACATTCATTCTTGAAACAAAAGTTTTTTTTAATTAAAACTGCCTAAATTATGTCCTATAGAGGTTTAATATCCTCTTTGGCTTAAAATTGCCTTTTCTATTCTCATTGCTTTTTGGGATCCTGGCTATTCCCTTATGTGAGGAAACCTCCCAAATCTTCTTCCTTTCCTAGAGCGAAGCTTTTATGTTTGGTAATGAACTGTCAAAAATTATAGTCTGGAACGGCAAATATGCTGCAGCATCGCATATTTGACGATTTTTCTTTTCTTTTGTTAAGTGCAGACATTAAATAAATGAGACAGCATCTCTTGTGACATTCGTATTATTTGCAATAATAATCAATAGAGATTGGTTGAGGGAAAAAATCTGTTTATTTGTCTTCAGAGTCAACTTTTGCTAAAAGCTTAATCAATTATTTATAGATCACTGAACTATAAAAACATTTCTAAGTAAAATTGTATGCTAATGGTTTTAGGTGTTTGTCTTTGAACATCCTCAATAACCAAATCACATTGTCATCAAAATAAGCAGTGAGTGTTGTTAAATCTATTACTCTAAATGGGGAAGGAGGTAGAGACAATAACACTCAGCTATCATTGCACCAAATGTGGGAAATTGACTCATTAGGTTGCTCCCATGGTATAGACTTTGACAGGCCAATTTTTATTTTGTCAAATTTTTCAAAACAAACCTTTGTGGTTTTCTCTGCATGGTGCACTAGTCACACGAGAAGACCTTGGAGCTTATATTGAATCCATGACTTTTTGGTTTTTAAGAGATCAGGTGAATATTTCAAATTGTCTCCCTTGCTCCTCCTCAAACATTCATTGAATAATAAAAAATTTCAGATGAAATATTGTTTTCATTTAAATTAAAACCCAAGGAAACAAATGTAATAGACCATTTATATCCTCATGAAAATATAATCGATTACATTTAATGGGAGTGTTTGAATATGGCATTTATTCTGAGGGGCAATTCATTTACCAGGAACTAAAAGTATCATGGGATAAATTAATACCACGGTTTGACATAGACTCTTAGACTGATATGTGAACCACTAAAACATCCAAACAAACAAACACAGAAGTACTGTATAAAGAGACTTGCTTATAAATAATTCAGATGATGATTGGAATTCTTGATAGAACAACACCGTAATGTTTCCTAACTTATTGCATCTACATAAAGTACTATACCATATCCATCCTAACCCTACAATGCACAATCCCTTGCTTTGTTCCTCAAGCTTTTCAGCTTCAAATGAATTCTTTCATATACTAAGGGGATTCCATTGAACTTCGATTACTTCATCCATGGGGTTAATCTGACCTTATCTCAAAAAGTTGAGCATCTTGGATTTAGGTCCCGCACTTTTGGCATTTCATTTTTTAAAACGAAAAAGACATGACTGACTGATGATTTTATCATAAGTGAAAGTCGCAATAGCCCTTTGGATGAATACTTTCCAGAATATCACAATTCGAGATATTTGACTTGTTCTATTTTGAGATGTATATCACGTACAATGATCATACTCCAAAAATTAAATTTGAAAGGGTAAGCTGAAATAAATTGAGATGAATTAGGTAATTTCGGAAGCAATCATTAAATTTCCATTTTTATATTGTCAAATACCAAAATTATCCAAAACTAAAATTATCTTGATCAATGTTTTGCACACTATTACAAAACATTATGACTTAATGACTAAAGTACAGGGTGGTAAAAAATGGAAACCCTGCATTTCTCTCATATCTTAGTCATTTTAGGAAATTATTCCCGGTTTTTTGACCATCCAATTAGACAGCAAAGAGTGTAAGAGTCTCAAGCTGTCCTTGAATATTTGCTTCAAACATCATAATTTTGTTGATGTCTTTAACACAGTGTGCTGGGTACTGCCACTAGTAGAATGGCTGACATTATGGTGCCTGTTTGCACAGCGGAGAGTTGACAAAAACACCTTCCGAAATCTTGCACCAGTCAGACAATATATGATAAAATTTACAGATGAATTACATAATAGTAAAAAATTGGCAAATTGAACAAATATGAATTTTGTTTCTTTTGATGCTACAATTAATTTAGATGCTATAAATTGTGCAACCGTGCAAGGAGTGACTAAAATGAGAAAGAATGTTGCTATCAAAATCAGAGTGAAGGTGATGCGTTTCTCTTCCTTTTCTTTCTTTTTGTTGATATCCATTGCAGGAGATTTACGGACATCATTAATGAGAAGAATGTTCAATACAAACACCGCAAGTTCAGGTCCCACATATCTAAATATAGCATTTAATATGCTGCTATAGGTAATCTTGTATCCATCGGAGTAACGGAACTCTTTGGACACTCGACTGTGCCACACTGGAATGTTGTATGCAACAGCTAAAACCATTACTACAATTGTGACCCTCCTAATGTTTTTGACAGTGCAAATTCTGTTTGCCTGCAGCGGGCGACACACATGTATGAAACGATCACACGTTACTAAGAGTATCATCCATGTAGCTAGAGTCTGCGTGGTACTTACAACAGGCACAGACCAGAAGTAGACTTTTTTAAACATATTTCCATTACTCATGTAGCGTTCCAGCCATCTATTTTGATGGTATATGATTGCAATTAATTGAGATATCAAAAATGACACCAAGAATAAAATATCAGTCACAGCCAACGATTTCAGCAAAATTGTTCTGCTTGACTTCTTAGACTCTCTTGAGAGCACGATGATTGTCATGATATTGCCAAATATTCCTCCAGACACCAACATGGGAGATAAAATGTACCACAAAACCCATTGATAAGTCAGCAGAGACTCATTTGGAATCCATCGCACTTTAAGTGTATGTTCAATGCTTAGGTTTGAGAGCCCACAGCTTACATTTGAATATCCATAACTTAGGTTTGAGTGTCCAAAACTTAGGTTTGAGTATCCACAAGTTAGGTTTGTGTGGCCATAGCTTATATTAGAAGTCATTTTTTCTGTAGACAGTATGAATTAGCTACTATCAACTATTCTTCCACATCACTTACAAAAAGTCTCTCTTGCTTAGCTACAGCCCCTTAATGCGCAGAGTTCCTTTGCTGTTATTACAGGAGTTTTTTTGACACAATTGGTATGCTCATAACATCTTGTCATACATTTAATTTGTCCTTATATACTCTCTGTTTAGTCATTCTCAATTCAACTGCTTTAAATCATCACTCCCAAAGGAAATTAACAAATTTGTAACCTATTAGCTGATGGACCTTTCAACACATTATCAATTAGACGAATGGCATAAACCACTGGTTCATAAAGGAAAGACTGCAGTAATGTCAATAATTTCAATCTACATTAATGGAAATGAAAATATGAACATTTGATGGATGATGTAGTAATTGTAATGTAGAAGTTTGAAGTGATATGGCTAGTGGCTGGAACATTGGAAAATTACTGATGAAATGACAAGTAATTATAAACCTACATGAAACAATTACTTTTCAGTGAAAAATGGCATTATTACTAGAGCTTACAATATTTGGTGATTTCTTATGCTTTTTAAAAACAGTTCTAGTTGCAAATATACCAACATGAAAGTTTAAAACCTGAGAAACTGAAACTTGTTTTCAACATCAGTTGCAACATATAAATGTATTACTTTATGATTTGAAAACATAAATAATACAGGCTCATATATTGTCAAAATTTTAATATTTTGAAGACAAAATGGAGATTTCTCCAAAACAAGGCACAAGTAGTAGCCAGGATAGATGATGACTTCATTTGTCTAAAAATTATAAAATAAAGGAGAGACGAAATGAAAGGCAAACAGAGGATGTAAGCTGATATATTACGTGATTTTACAGTTTTGATGCTGTTACAATCTCAACGATCTCAAATGTAGCTTTCATGAGTGGAATTTACTATATATTAGCATATAGACAAAATATGTAATACATATGGTACCATGCCTTGAAAACATTGCAACTGGATATGGTAGAAAACAAAATGTCAAGGGGGGTGTAAATTTTTGGCTTTGCATATCTCCGAGCAAGGCGGGCAACAAAAAAAGGGGGGGGGTTGGGGGTTTAAAATCTACATTGTATATGGTGCATTCTAAGCATTTCAAACTATAATTTGTTTATGTTTTTTAAACAAATTTTTTGCACCCATCACCTCCCCCTTCCCCTTGACTCTGCCCATGAAGAGTATAGCTGGATAATGAAGGTGATTTCTAGCATATTACATAAGGAAATATTCAGTTTGATAGAGATGTCAACTAAGAAACAGCAATACTGTTAATCTCTTATAAAGCATACTTACTGCTGATGCCACATTTGCCGCAAATGCTGCTGCTGTTGTAAATGATGTGAAGAAGGTAGCCTTCCCAGCAATTTTGATGGTATGTTTGATCCTGTCCATGAGATCAGTGATATGATCAGCCTGTCTGAATGTGTTGATGAAGACAAACACATCATCTACACCTAAAAAAGTAATGTTTTGCTTATACATGCACATACATTGAATTCAATAAATCAAATATTGCTTACTGGCCTAATGATTGAATTTACATGCTGAAAATTAATATATCTAAATTGTTCATTGGTTAGGTGTATGATTATATAGGGCAATATTCCTCAATTCACTAACCTGAAATAGCATAATTATCAAGCTTTCAGACATCTTAAGAAAGGCAACAGGTGTTGTCAAAAGCTCGATAATTATGCTATTTCAGTTTAGTGAATTTAGGAATTGTGCTCTATATGAAAATAAGTAGTTGTACCAATCTACAAAATACAATAATGTGGGATAAATCATCAAGCCAAACTAGGCAATTGGTGGGAGTAGAACATGTTTTACAGTACATACATATACAGTACATACGTATTTATTCTATAATAGATTTTCATTCCAATTAATGAAAGCTGCATTGGAGGCCTGGACAGAAAGCAATAAAATGATTACTTATAACACAATTGAAACAAAAAATGCACCATCATAATTGGATATATGACACTTATATAAATTGGTTGCCTGTGTTTGTATACTAGACGAGTCAAACAAAGCTGACATCTTTTAACTCTATTTTTTTAATTGCAGTGGCTAAACCTCAATTTAACTCGATTTTTTAATTTAACAAAGTACCACACCATATACGTATACTACCAATGGAACGTGATAAGACACAAACATTATTTTTTGAAACAATCAAACCTTGAAGTCTACTGATGCTACAAGCTAGAGTAATAGGTTGTCATGATTAGGATATTTTAGGATTAAATATCTAGGGCAAAGGGGTGCAACATCGACGGGTGGGGTAATGTCGACATAAGAGACGGGGTAACTTCGACACTTACTTATTAGAAGTAGAATTTCTGTTTTCTGCCATGTTTGATTTCTGGAAAAATTAAAATCTTGCGAGATCTTGATCCATGCGAGAAAAAAGACATGGCTTCCCCCTAGATCAGATTAGAGCAAATAAACAATAAGGTGTTGAAGTTAGCCCACATGTTACCCTGTCAACATTACACCCCCCTATATTTTATTAAAATTCAAGGATTACAATGTAAGATAATGAAGGTAGAGATCTCACATGATCCTAAAATCATCTGCCTGATAAAATGGGCCATTCTGTGCCGCAATAGGGGTAATAAGCTCAAATTATATAGAAAAATGGTCACTGCACAGAGTGTCCCGAAGGTATGCCCCCCCCCTAGGCAGACATATTCCAGTGTCCTCATAGTATGTGCCATATATCATTTTAAAGCTTATCCAAAGTTACATTGATTTGCCAAGTATCATGGTTTAACTCCCAAATGGGAAAAAGTTACAGTCATTTTAAAAGTTAGTGTTTTGTACTGGTTTTGGTACTGGTATATGTCTGCGTAGGGGGGGGGCATACTTTCGGGACACCCTGTACAGTATTAATAGATGTCACTTCACTGTATAGACCTATACAAAATACACTTACCAATCCCTACAATAACAAAGGCAGCAGCTCCATTGAGAATTCCCAGTGAGTGGACCTTAAATGCCACAGAGTACAGAAACAGGGCAAAGGGGAAGCTCTCAATAATGCTGATGAATCCAATGACAGTCAACCACATGGAGAAGGAGGTGAGGATGTACATGAGGACAAGGATGAAGCCAACACTGAAGAAGGCGAGTTTGACATCATTGATCCATGTTTCTTTCACCTGGTAGTCATACAACTCATTACTCCCGTACAGCACTTGGACCTTACTGGAAAACACAATTCAAGATTCATTATTGGACATGCCATCCTGATTTTTCCATTACAATTTTACTTTTACATTTTCATTAATAATAATTATCTTATTTCAAACAAATAAATACAAATTATTTCAATAACAATGTTCTGATTTGGGTAAAGACAAAGAATTAACTTTTTATTTGAAAAAATTAATGAATATTCAATAAAATTTTCTAAGGCAGGTGGCAATCTTGAATACAATTTATCATGTTCTGAGACAATGTGAACAAATTGATATTGTCCTTATGTTAACTAAAGCCGAGTTACAGAATTACACAATTACTCACTCAGTGGAGGCGTGCTTAAGGACATCAATATAGCTGATGACGAAGTCATGGTATTTCTGGTTTTGTTCTGCACGTCTGTCATGAGAGTGGGCATATCCTATATAGACAAAAAAAATTGTTTCATGATTAATGAAATACCATAGTTCAGCTTATTAGTGATACATAATAACTTTCTAACTATCTTGTTACCAATTCCTCATCTCTTATCAATTATTGAATAGTAGAATCATGCATTTCATATAATTACTATTCAGCAACCATTTCCTGATCATTTTTGTTATTTTCGAGATGGAAGTAATAATTTCCCTAAGAATGAACCCTATGTGCCAGATATTGAAACACCAGAATTATGAATGACAATTTCTGATTAAATCACAGGAGGACTCTACATGAATGAGAAGACTACATGACAATATTGCTTAATAAATAAATGCAGAACACCATAGTGAGGTTGCCTGAGGACCACTACATGCACAAGGTGAATACCCCACCCTAACTAGGGCCACTTATCATATTTCTCTGATCTAACACCAGAAATTGGTAACTCCAGGGAGAAGCAGGGAGTGCCTTTCATTTCAGTATAATAAAGACATACTTTGGTTGAAAATGAAAAACTTAATTTTTCACGAAAAATTACCATTTTTAAAGTGGCAGCCATCTTGAAATCTTTTTTTTGCATAAACTTGTGTTTGAGTTATCTTCCGACCAGACAACCTGACCAGCCCAGACACACACCCATCAGCACAAAAAACAATATGGCACTTTTTCAAGGCACGATAAAATGCATTTGATGAGACCAACTTTTTTAAACAAAAATTACATACTGAACAGTTTAAAATAAAATAAAATATAGATTATAGGAGTCATATCAGTGTTCAAATGTGTCACTTTTAAGGAATGATTTCACTTAAGTTATTATTAAATATTTAGTCACTCTTCCTCAATTTTGGAACCCAGGTCACCTTGTGACCGGATTAAAAGTGCAAAAATGGGTGAAAAAATGTTTAAATTCTCCCAAATAATAAGAATGGTAAATATTCTTATAGAAAAATAATACATTATTGTAAAAATCTTGAGTTTTCCTGTCATAAAGTGTGTACTTTGGGGATTTTTAGAAAATAGACATGAAAAGGAATGACACAAGTTATAAAAGCAAGGAGATGATATGGAGTTCCTTCTGTACATGTGGGAAGCTGATCTAAATACAACAATGGTTTTCAATGATTACTGCGCAAATGCGCAGGTGGGAACTTATAAAACTGAATATGATTATTTCATATGAAGGGAAACCACAATTGCATAATACACAGATGTGCAATTGATTCTTTTTAGCAGAGATCGATCAGAATTTTATTCCAACCTGGAAATGGTCTTGAAAAGAGGGAGATAAAATAATTGAAAAACATCCCCCTCTTTCTAAAAGATGACTTTTTGAAGAATTCCCTGTTAATCAGTGCAATATTCATTCATATATTATGGTAATTTTATTCTTTATACCCTTTCATGAATGACAATTAATATCAAACAAAGATAAGAAAATCTCCATATGTGTGATGTCTACAGATGCCAATTATTGTTTTACAATCTAAAGCCTATGATGGATATATTTAACTTGCAGAGGAAATGGAAACCATACGTTCCTGTAGTGATCGATATTTATAATCCGATAGGAAAGAAATGGTCTATCAAACAATCTCAATTATCAACATGTGTTTGTCATTTCGATAACTTCTTGAAACCTCATAAATGTGAAAAGGTCTTATTTACACCAAAACACTACACCAAAACACTATTTGCATAACACCGAGTTGTAGCACTAAATAAATAAATATTCTTTAAAAAACTAACATGACATTGCAGAAAATATGAATACATTTGTATAAAAATAACTCTTGATAAATAATAGTCTGATATACTATATGTTTATGAGGTATAGATATAAACACATTTCCTGTTATATGTCATAACCAGTCCAACATGAACTGTAAGAAGATTTTTTTGAATTACACCTAAACAGTCGTTCTTTGTTGTTTTTCATATTTAAAGGAATTGATTGACAGAGACTTTGGTAAATTGTAAAATGATTCAACAACTCCCTCTAGATTTTCAAAAGCATCTTCAATCATCATTTAATGAAATTCTTGGTATCTATGATGCACTGACCAAAGTCAAATTAGAATCTTGGCGAGGTCCAAGTTTTACACAAACATGTAATATCAGGGTTCTCACCAGGAAATTTTTAGACCCCGGATTTTTAGCAGCATTCTACATAATTTGGACTTGTGTTCTAGATAGAAGGTTGAAGTAAAATGTCATGCACATATATATATACAGTGTCTTATACTCTATGCTTCTCAATCTTCTGAGGCAAAACATTTTAAACATATAAACTTACCTTCCAATGGGCAACCAAAATGAACCTCACTTCGCATCAGGTGACTTTTTCTTGACTTTTTGCTAAATCCTTCATCAACGAAATAGTAAGTTGATTCATGGTTGAGTGCAAACGTCAGGGTACTGTTGATATCTGCGAGATTATCCCCCAAGCCGTTATAATGGAGATAGCCATCCACCTCAGTTGGGTAGAAGTAGGTTAGCAGGCTGTTAAGAGGGGCACAGTTCCCATGTTCATCGATGCTTTTGTCTTCGTTACAACGTCCCGTTTTGTAGCAGAACTTTGTAAAGTTTGGATGATTCACAACAGTTTTTTCGATGTTGTGGATAGTTTCAAGTCTCTCCTTAGTAAAAATGTTCTTAGATTCATCACCCTGGGCTAAGTATACCAAAGTTAGCTTCCAACAATGGTGTAACTGTAAGTAACCATTATTATTACAGTTCGATGCAGATCTCCTAAACCTGTGTAAATAGTCACCAATAACACCTAACAGACCTTCAGTCTTAGGTTCATTTCTTCCAACTAGATTAGGGAATTTTCCAACTGTGTGTTTAAACAGTTTGTTCATATGTTCTACACTGTCTTGTACATTCTGTCCTGCAGCATCCAAGCTTTTATAAGCATTTGATACATCCCGCTTTTTACGACCGTGAGCCGCGTTATATGCATCAGATTTTGCGAGATTCAATGCATCATTACGCAGTGACACTTCATGATCTGGAATGTTGAATGACTTTAAGGACAAGTCAATCTCTGGTATTGGTGGTACCCAGAAGAATGTGCACATGAATAACATGACCTGGGACACCAACACGATAATGATAAGTCCTAGCGCAATAAGAGTATATAGCCATTCAGGACAACCAGTTCTACATGGTGGTCGTGGGGTGGTTGCATCTGGAGTTTCCAGTACATCAGGGACTACATCATCATCAAGGTGATCCTGACTGCCCATCATTTGGAGAAGTGGCTCATCATTCTCACTGAGGGGCAAGTAGCCCTCATTTTGACCCCACATTTCAGTTTCTTCTGAAATAAATACATCAATAAAATACTGTAGAGTGAACTAACATAATACTATGATATTCACAATATGGTAAATTCTAAATAAATGGAAAAACTTGAGTAAAATCTCTGATAGTTAATGTCCTAGAATATCTGTCTTAATTTCATTAAAGACATTGAAGAAATTTAAGACAGTCACTGCTTAACAGTTTTATTGAGAAATTTTCAGTCAGTAAATTTGAGGGGTATCATACTTCTAGGAATGGAACACAGAAAGGTATAATCCTGGACATTCTGATTTTATATTCCATCATTTCAATATTTGGCACATGAATAAATAAATACAAATGTTTGTTTGTCTTTCTATTACTTGTGGTTTGGAATAACAAATGTAGCCTCTTGAGTTTTGATTGTTCTCTGTTATTTTTGAAAATTCCTTACCATGGCTAAAACTCCCTAGATACGGACAATCTTATCTATCACCAATAGTCCTATTGGATTATGATTTGGTAGTTTGAGGCAGGTATTACTGACAAAAATAGCATAATTCAATAAATTCCTGAGTATTTTAGGGTTCTTTTTATGGGTTTATAGGCAGAAAAAGATCTTTTGGTCTTTAGTAGATTTCATTGTACCCAAAGTCAAGACGATAGAGGCTATCATGGGGAATTTCTACTTTTTGTCTAATGTTACAGAATGAACTCCAAAAACTGTAAACCCAAGAGCTTTGAAATCTTCAGAGGACATATATTGCACAGCACCTGCTACCACTTATTTGAAAGTTCTACTTCTTCTACTGGTATTTAAAGAAAATTTGACTTTATGACGTCAAAATCAGCATTTTCTTGGTAACTAGGCGAACTTGGGAAATGGCGATGACAGGTCAAATAGACATTATGGATATGCATAATATGAATATGGATATGATTCAATACAAACAGCAGTTTTAATTTGTGCAACCAATGTTAACGGACGGACCAACCGCTTGATATACAGATCGATCCGATAGGCTCACTTTGGAGCTACAAAAGACAGTATCAAGTTGCAAACTCAGGGTTGCTTCGATCCACATGGCATATTTTGTTACAGTGCTTGTCTTCAACATACCACAGTGGCTGGCAAATCTATAGTCTCAGCTTCTAACATAAGTATTATGTCACCATTAACAATAAGACTTTTACTTAAATTGCATCTGCAGAGTTTCTTCTAATATATCATGATTTTTGAAATAATTTGACAAAATTTAATGATTGAGCATAGTAATAGAACAAATATCAGGGGTGTAGCCAGGATTTACCAAGAGGTGTTCTTTATTTTATCATAATTCTTGAAATCAAGAGATTTTTACAAAATGCTAACCTTTTGCCTATAAAATAGCCTGCAAAAATGAGTTTCAACCAACCAATCACATTACAGAGTATAGTGCACACGTCATCGATAGCCCAGATGCGAGTAGAAATAATCTTGATTTACGTCATTAAATTCAGTCAAAGTAATATCATATTTGAAATCTACATGTAAAATTACATCTAGAAATGTGGTTTTAAAAAGTGTTTATCAACTTTAAAAAATTAATTTTCTTTGAAAATGTGACTTCTGGCTCGGGGAGATTCCCCATAGATCCCATGCTATAAAATCACAAAAAATGAAATATCTTTTCTTTTAGTGGACAGATAATATTTTGCTTTACTGGACATATTTTCATTAGTATAAGTATCAGACACATATGGGTTATATGAAAATTGAGCCACTTAAATTGATAATATTCAAGTTTAAGGGAACTTTCTTATATACATGCCATGTTAATTGACCCGAATCAGCCACCTGGTGGTGAAACTGGTAACTACCTACTCGCATTTGGGTAATTGGCATGTATCAATGTTGCTCGCGCAAAAATAGTTGATCTTTCAGAAAGGGTGTTCGTTCCCAGTTGGGGGTTCATTAAGCCTATATAATGAGAAAGAGTCGAAGGCATGCGAGGCGAAGCCTGAAAACTTGGGTTCAGGAAAGCAGGGTTCACTGTTAGTTTCTGTTGACACCTGTACGAAACTACATTCATAAATTATACGACAGTGAACAGGAGGTTTAGTCATACCCAGGTGTGAATCCCTTTTTAAATGTTTGTTTCCATGCGGTACTAACTCACCGGGGCGTATCGAAACCAAAACGCTCCGCAAAACCGTTAATTTGAATTTCAAATCTACCCTGTCTCAATGATTGTGAGTCTCACACTACACCGTTTTTCTTCAAACTTGTTCCATTAAAACCTTCACAGAAATACCTTTCAGTCAGGACATTTGTTTTTAGTGTCTCATCTGGAGGAATATAATTGAGCCACAGACCTTTGCCAGATTACCTCCTCTGTGTCTACGCGATCTTCGGATAATTTGTTTTTCCTTGATATTGGAGTCAGTTTTTCAATAAATATCACATGTCATACCTCAAACGATGCGTACTGTTGTTGCCTTCAACTCCAATCACTAAAGCCACATCAAGTATATTTGATGGAGCGCTTCGGCTATCTCCGTTGTTCAAATGATTATTCCTGAAGTCAAATGCTTTTCCTGAGAATGTGACGCCATTCCGGATGACGTCACATCAGAGATTACCGAGAATTCCAATGACGTTTCTTTAAACTCCCGTAGAAACAATAACAACGGTTTGTTGGGCTACGCGATTCTTTACTTTCATTGGCTGTTTGTTGCGATGTGATGTAATTTGAGAGACGAACAACATTGGACACTGCCGGAAAATACCGAAGTGCTCCATTATCTTTACGCTCTGAAAATTTGAAATAAATGTCCCGGGAAAAGTCGAATTACAGTGTCAACTAATACATAAAGAAGAGATTACAGGGTAAATATTGATCAATCAATGTACCATAGGCTTTCACCTATCTATAATTGAAAGCCCATGGTGTGACAGATGGAAAAAATAAAGGTCAGTACGAGGGTCATATTTTTGGGTGGTCATTTTTTTGATGTAGCATTTTTGGCTGGAGTCTCTTCTTCCCATTAATCCTTTGAGCCTACTACCAATAGGGGCTGGATCTGGCTCCCAATCTGTGAATTGAGCTACTGATTCTACAACAAAAGAATCTGGACGAGATCTATGGATTTTACCTTCTTCTAAGGCCACTGTATCGTGGCCTTCCAGTAAAGATATATTCCTGCATGAACAACTGGTCATGTCGTAATAATAAAATTTGAAATCATATGTCCGCCATTTTTCCACATCACAATTTGAATTGCGAGTTTTGGTCTTATTACCTCACCAAAAATTCCAAAACACACATAAAGTGATCAGTGTATTAGTTCACATCTTCTGGATCGCTAACTTAGAATTTACAGCCAGTTACTAATGTCAGACATTAACGACATTTCGTCCAGTTTTCGAACATCGCCATTTTTCTTAGAGCCATTTTGATTTAATTTTAGACGAAATACTCATGAAATCATGTCATATCTCATCAAGGAGTCGAGCTGGATCCGTTTTAACTAATGATTTATTTATCTGGCGATTTTTAAAATATTCAATAAATTTATGACACGGCGGCCAGCTTTTTTAAAATAGAGTTCACAGTATGCTAATGAAATCCCCTCTAGCCAAAATATATAGACTCGAGTAATATGGATTTATCTCCAGATTCTGGACATTTTTCATTTGCCAAAGTGTCTTTTCCGAGATACTGCAAAGACACATAATGGTTCGTCATGCTCCCCATGACCTATATGCACCAAATGACTGACTCTCAAGAAAAATCAGTCACGAATTTCGTGACGAAAAATTATGTAAAAAATGATCAATTTTTGAGGTCATTTTCCTCTTTCATTTTAGCTCCATTTCAATAAATTAACCGTCATATGGATAACTGTTTATATATTGTTAGTAATAAATCAATTGTTTACCTGTCCTAAGACATGCTTTGTTGTTTAATTAGGAAACAGTCAGGCTTCTTTCTTTCTACTTTTCTGTTTTGATAATTTTTACCCAGAGTTCCTTTCCGTAGATCTAAATTGAGGAATATCTAACTACAAAAATTGCACGGCAACTTAGAGCATATACATCAGTTCACACAAATAAATAAATATGAATAATCATTATTTTAAATATGTAAATATCCATATTTCAATATAAATTAACTGTTTGATTGATCTCACATATCATAATAAATTTTCGCGATTTCGCTCAATAAAGTTTGACATTTAAACCAGGAAGTGATTCAGAAAAAAGTTTTGTTTTGATTTTGCGTCATCCTAATCTATTTCGTTTTATGAGCCCTTTTGGGGCGAGAGCTAGATTGACAACCCCCTCCTGTAAGGGGTAGATATAGACTTAAAATAATGGTACTTAAATTAGTCCAATTCTGGGCACAGCCCGCTGTAAATGACGGTTCAATCTTTGCACTTTTTTCAAAACTCATCCAAAATGGTCGAAAAGTTATCCAGAAAAATGTTCAAAATAGAATTGCCAAAAAGAGACAAACTGGACATTCGGAGAATCAAACAGTTGCACCAACACAAACATCACGGTATTTCAACGTTCAACCGAAAAGAGTGACATGGTTTTCCAAACTTGCTGCAACCCGAACTACCGGTGTCTCGTTTGCTGGGAATGTTGGGCGATACATGGCACCAAATGCTGGAAGACTATCTCTCTATGCTTTTGTCGGAGTTGGGTTTGCTTCCAAATCTGGGCTGTTAGATTGTGATAATAGAGGCGATGTTATATGTGATCAAATCAAGGTAGACTTACTAGCAACTGTACATGTACAGTACAGTTTGAATCATAAAATGTATAAAGTATCGGGTATTATTATCAGCTTTATTGTAACTATTCATACATTCTATTTCTGATACATGTAGATGTACCTATGTGATGATTACTTTTCAAAGCTTATACCGAACTCCTATGCAGTGTCTCGGTATAGACACTGCGGCGGGCAGATTATGGAATCCCCAGAATTTGGGGAAGATAGTCCCCCTTTTTGTCACAGATGTACTTGTTTTTCACACAACTTATAAAATATATGTTCTTTTATGTTCACCAATAATTATTTTGTCAAAATATTCCAAAATCAATGAAATATAAGAGGAAATCCCCGCGGAAGGAATTCTGAGTAAAAGTTGTGTTGATAAAATTTACCGCACATGTTGTTTATTAGTTAATACGCGCAATTCAACCAATGAAATTGTCTAAATTTTACAATCACGCGATCTGAGCATGGGACTAGAACCAATCACGTCAGTTGTTTATCGCGATGTTACCATGCTTACGGTGAGATACCTGCCCGCCGCAGTTATATATCACTGCACGGGAGTTCGATCTTATACCATTTAAGGTTATCATTCTTGTATGAAATGTCTGCTTCAGGAGCTTTTCAAGCCAGTGTCAGCTGAGGGATGGAAGAATGACTGTTGTGTCTCTGGCTTGGATGACATTGACATTGGGTCTATGATAGCCAAGGGAAGCAATGCTGCTGTCTATGAAGCCAGACTCCGAACAGAATGTGATCAGATGAATGATATGAAATGTATGTGGTCAAAATAAGTTTGACAAAAACTCTCCGTTATCTTGCATTCAGTCTTTGATTTCCTTCCTTTGCTTTGATTCCTATCTATGTAAGGACGGATATGTACATGTATGTATGGCGTGAATTGGTTTCATGCAACAGTGCCAAGCCAATACTAGTGACAAACATCTACTTTTGACATGGTGTATTACATATCATTTTTTAATATACAAAAGAAGAAATAGTCCTTACATGTAGTTTAATACCAATTTGAAAACTCATGACTTACACGAAAATTCATGATTTTTAATGATAGTTTGTTACATTAACCTACCTCTTCCCGCTTAAGTAATATAATGTACATGAATAAAAACTTCTGAACATGCCATCCATTATATTTTTGAAGGTGATATGAACCCTGATAAGGATGTGATTGGACTGAACTGCATTCAAGAGATTTTTATGGATATAGATGCTGACACTTCTGATGGAGAGGACACATCTAGTAATGCTGACACTGTTACTGGAACAATAGAGGGCAGTGACACTTCTTCTGACTCCAATGATGATAGTTTCGTTATTTTAGATGACGAGGAATCATGTCACTCAGGTATAGTTAAAAATCTCCCCTAATTCCCCATTACTCCTCTGGTAAATACATGTACATATCGTATATGATAATATATATAATTGTATTGTGTCATTTCACATTTTAAGACTTTCAAATATAGGAACAATGAAGTTTGAGGCAACTAATACACAATTGTGATTTTAAAGTCGACTTGCTTTAATGCATATGAAGAGATGATTTGTTAAATCACCTTTTTTACATTTCGACCCACTGTCAATGTTTTATAAGTGGTTCACTGAATTGCACTAAATAATCAATTTTGTTCATTAGCTCAGTAGAAAAGAGTATTGTAAATGTTAGTAAAAGAGTAAGCAATCTTTCTATTTTTATAAACAAAAAAGTGTTATGAACTTCATTTCAGACATTATTTTTATTCAAGATTCCACATTGAGTAGTATTAATGATGATTCACCATTAGAGATGACACCAGACATGACACCTGAGTTTGACTTGGCCATCAAGATGGTTTGGAACATGCATGTTCCATCAAACCCTGCATTGATAATGCGAGTGATGGAAAATGAAGCGTTACCAGCAAAGATGAGCTCTGCTTTTGAGGATTTGGAGATGTGGGAGAATGGGTAAGAAACAAATTATTTTAAAAGGCTGGGTGTACCCAAATATTCAAATATTTTCTACTATTTTGAAATTAAAAAATGCATGTCATGAGAGCACATGAGATTAGTATGTGTGGAAATAAAAAAGTATTCACTTTTCCACATTGAAAGAATACATACATGTATGTAGTCATCTTTCTAAAATGGTAATAGAAATGGAAAAAATGCATTTCAATATAAAATACAGGACCTTATGCTTCTTCAGGAATCGGGTGAAGAAAAAACGGTTACCACCTCACCCCAGTATTGTTGACATGCAGAGTGTGTTTGTGGCAGATGTACCTGAGTTAGATGGCGCTATGGTAGAGTTCCCAGCAGTCCTACCGCAACATCTCAATCCTTACGGATGTGGCAGAAATAAAACCATGTTTTCTGTAATGAAAAGGTTAGCCTCTCTGGTATTAGAAGTCTCGTCTCGGAAAAATATTAAATTAATGTTTGCTTAAACATATGGTGATAGAACTTCATAAGAATTGATCTGACCTTTGCAAATGTATAGTAGAGTGTAAAATAAAAAAGATTATTAAACTGTTATTTCTAGGTATCCGTATACTTTGAGGGAATATTTAGCTTCCAAGGAATTGGATTCCCAGAGTGCTATGTTAATATTGTGCCAACTTGTAGAGGGCTTGGTTCACCTTGGACAACATGGGGTGGCCCACAGAGACATAAAGACAGACAACATTCTGGTGGAAACTGAGCCTGGAGGTTTGAATTTTTCAGTTGAAAACTGTCAAATATGTGTGTTTACTAACATAATACATACAGGGGTTTTCATGAAAGTATTTTTATTATGTATTGTCTTTGCAAATGCTCAACTCATCTGCTCCTTTTGTGAAATACATAATCAATGATGTCAATCAGTCTAGTCATATTTATTATAGGGGTTATCATCTGTCTTGAAAACAATAAAGAAGTACTTGATATTAAATCCCAGCATCTTGATCACACTCATGAATATTATGGAAGATTTTACTTCTAAACATTACATGATATACATTAGTTGAGTGTAATCAGTAGGCAATACTGTATTTTCATTATATACTTTGCAAAAACATAACAACTAAAAAATATGAAATCAATTTTATCCAGCATGGTAGCTAAGATATCAGTTGTTCAGTTGTCATGAATGTGATTGCCTTAAATAATTTCTATGTGACTGAATCTGTGGTTTATTTTACAACAGGTTTGAAGAACAGAGTTGTATTGAGTGACTTTGGTTGTGCCAGTATGGATCAGCTGAATGGCCTGTTGATTCCGTACAATACAGACAACATTGCAAAGGAGGGGAACCCAGCTCTGATGGCACCAGAGGTAGACTTGATACCCTAAAATATATTGTCTTTGCAAATGCTCAACTCAGCTACTCCTTTTGTGAAATACATAATCAATGATGTCACTCAGTCATTTTTAAAGGCCAAGGTCAAATGAAAGGTTCTCTGCAATTTGCTATGGTCCTTTACTACTTTTGAATAATCCACCTGGTAAAAGTTGTATCATTTGTACTTAAATTAATCAATTTGTTTTTAAATTTCCTTACCCCCACTACCTCAGTATTAAATTAGTTTCACCACATCAATGGTTTACACAACCAAAGATGTTAGAGTAACAAACATGAATTGTACTATTCTTCTGCTTATAGATTGCCAATGCTGTCCCTGGTAGAGACTCTTGGCTGGACTATAGGAAGTCAGACCTGTGGGCCCTGGGAACCCTAGTTTATGAGCTACTAGGGGAAAGAAATCCCTTCTACTGTCAGGGTGTATCAGCTGGTCTGGACAGTAGGAGGTACACAGAAGATGATCTGCCGCAACTTCCTGGTTGGTAGTTTTTATTGTGGATTACTTGTACGGTATATGAAAATATCGACCCAGCCAGAGGGTAAGGATTAAAAGGTGGATTGGATCGAGTGGATTGGATTCATGTAAAAGGTGGATTGGATCAAGAATCTTCAAAATATGGATTTTCCTTAAAAATTCTATTGACCGTCTCCTCTAAGAAGACTGAGGGTAATCTTAGACATTTCATAAATTATAAGGCAGACTGGTTTGAACAAGGGCGTTACAATACCCGGGAATTTATCGGTTCGTCCAGTACTTGTTTGTGATAGCGCCCTCTGTAGGTCACTGTGCTTATAGCCTACAGTAATACGGGGTAGGATATCGGGAATTCGGTCAGTTTCTATCCGTCGATTTCGCTATGAATTGAAGCAAGTGTGACCACTTTATCCACTTAAACAATTTGATAATTGATTAAATCTTTAAACAAAATCGATAAACACGTTATACACTTCCTATCTCCTTAGAAATTAGCATGTATTTATGGATTGTGTTTTCGAACAAGGCTCGACCCACCCCAATAGGGAAATCCTTATGCTAATTAGTATGACGTCATATTTTCCTGGGGAATCCTAGATTTCAAGGTCTCAGTCTGTTATTGTGTCAAATGTAAACGCTCTTGGGACGCTCTTTTGCAGACAGAAAATTGACAGATTAGCTTTTAACTTTCAGCTTTGATGTTTAAATATTCTGTATTTCTACCGGACTTCTTGCTGAATATCATATAATGTTATAACTTGATTTGGATCATTGCCTGATTGATCATTCTGAAATTTTGATTGTGATTCATGATTGATTGGCAAGAAAAATAATTCCTATTGTTTTCCAGCGAAGTCAAAATGTTACAGCATGAGTTATAATGTCGAGTTTGCATCATGTTAAATTCTGCTAGTGATTAGAAGTCCATGCACAAGCATACACATAAGAGACAAACACACCCAGGCTCCAGGCCGTGGACTATGGAAATATAAAACTATTTAAGGCACAAACTGGTATTTATAGACCGATATGTAGTGTCTGCCATGTATTGAAGGTAAACCAATCTGTATTATTAATGTTTCTTCTATCAATACATGGGTTGTGCAATAGAAAAGCAATGGCACAATCAAAAATGTGCATATCAATCGTGAATATCTCTCGGTTCAAAGCTTATTTCCAACAGAATCGTGTCAAAATATGTGTCTGAGTAACAGTTATACATTATAAGATCGCAAACTCTTACCAATTATCAGCCGAATGGCTCATTTTCAACGAAATGTCCTTAAGACAACAGCCCTGGGTCGCGCCTGAGACCAAAAACTATTTCAAATAGCCCTCCCCTAATTATATTGGATAATCACATTTATGCGTGCGCGCGCAGCTCATCCAATGAACGAAACGCCACTTCCCGCTGAAATCACCGGGTATTGATCTTTCCCTTGGTTTGAAGATCCATATCATCTGTTTTCAGTCCAAACAGAACATAGCAGAAATGTTTTGTGAACATCCACACATCAATTTGCAACAGCTTTTACAACAGCTTTTACAGATCTATGTTTATTATGTCTTACAAAAGTTGATTTACAAGGGAAAGCAGCTAGTTAAATGCTTAAGAGTATCCATCAACTTATTGGAGTATGTACTTGGCATTGCTTTGTTCTGATTTCTCAATACAAGGGAACCCAAGTGATCACAATATACTTTAGGGAGAAATTGCTTAGAGGGAGATCAACAGAAAAAAAATCTTAAAGAAATTACATATTTTGGAGATTACCAATCCAATCCACCTTTTACATGAATCCAATCCACTCAATCCAATCCACCTTTAAGTCTCTACCGACCAGAGGCATATTCATATGACTAGGATTTCTTCAGTTTTATAGTATTTTGTTGTCTGAAATCTCTAAATTTCTCTCTAATCAATCAAAAACAAGTATTTAGATCAGGAACCTCACAATCTCAAATATTCATATATGTTGTGTTCAACAATTTATCATGAATCCTTAATCTGTTGGATAGTCTGACTTTTTACACTTCTGTATTGTGTACATGTATGATATCGATTTTCAGAGAATACACCAAGGATTTTTCGAAAATTGGTTCAATTAATGCTGATAAAGGATCCATCAAAAGTAAGCTGACTTGTATTTTTGACAAATCACTATGTAGCATATTTTATGTGTTTCTATTTTCTACCACTGATTGTAATTACGTACATTGAATAGTGAAAAAAAATAGTTTAAAAGACAAGATCAACTTATTGTATAAAGCAATTAATGTAAAAAAAACTGCATTCCAAAATGGTTCTTCATTTCATCCCATTTTGTTTATTTTAGAACTGCATCAAGCTAATATTCCTCACTTGTTCTCATGCTTACACTCAGGAAATAGGGGGATAATCAAATATAAAACGCAAATCTGTTTGTAATTATTTTAAGGTTATCGTTCTTGTATTTCTCTACCATTTCCTCTTGGGTCAGAAAATGGGGTATATAAATCTTTATATTAATAAATGTATCTAAAACTTTCAGAGGCTGAGTCCACAAGTACTGGGAAACATTCTGCATATTCTACTATGGGGCCCTCCACATTGGGATTGGAGTACAAAACCTGAGTGTTTACCCAATGATTTTGATATTATTGGTTGGCTCATGATCCTTTCAGCTGAGGTCATCTGCAAGAGAATAGGTCAAAGGTCATCCAAGCTGGGGTCATGTGAAAGTCAAGAGTCAACAACAATTGATGTAGAATATGAACAGAAACATTTGTTTTTATCTCGCTTGTGCTTTAGAGAGCTTAAGCAATCTTTCAATGTCTTGGCAATGCTTGGTGACAATTAAAGAACTCTATTAAGGAACTCTGAGCATAGATGCTCTGAGGAACAATGAAACTTATAGTATTGTGAGTTTGTTACTCATTAGGAAAGAATGCAACACATTTGTTATTCAGAATTTTGTATTGTTTTTCTTTTAGTTTTAAGTTAAAATAAAGTTCTGAAATGTCATCAAAATGGTTTTTGTTATCTAATAGTGTACAGGGTGGTGCAGAAATATGGGACCCCTAATACAGAGAATATCCTATGATTCATAAGTGATACAATTTTATCCATGAATAACACGGTATCTCGTGTGAGAGGGCAGATATCCATATTCATGTATAGGATTGACATAGAATGGAGTGGATAGAAATCATATTATGAGTAAATCATAGGATATTTTTATTATTCCATAATTAAAAGGTATGTGTTATGTACCTCTTATCATCCTCAAGGAATAAATAACCAAAATGAAAAATATCAGGTTAAAATTAAGTTAACCCTCAGACATGGCATGTCTCATGATTGAGACCCACATTCAACATGTTCAATGATTTAGTGACATTCAAAACAGGAAATATGTTATTTTATTTTTCCACTGGTTACAAAATTATGGTTTTCTTATTCTTAGTACAGTGACTTTAGAATAAACTCAGTTATCAGAAGTTGGAAACTGGTATATCCAAAACATTGAATTGAAAATATGTTCATAGACAGCTTTTAGTAGGGTCCGAGAGTGAGAGTATCATAAGAGTATTTCAAAACTAACTAGATAATGGGGCTGTTAATGTCTGACCAAGAGCACGAGAGTGTCTGGAGTTTTTCAAAATAATATATTTAAAAGATTAAATTTAACAACTTAATTTAAGATTATAAATTACTTTATTCACTACAAAATTCCATAAACATAAATATACTACACTTGATTCACTGCATTCAGGTATGGAAATATTATGAATCAATAACTGCAGAGCATTTGGTGGTTAATTTAAACATATGAACTTTTGTGTATCTTTAGGACTTGGCACATGTCTATCTCACAACCACAAGATAACAAGTCAACAACATTGAAGTATGTCAAAGCATAGGGGAGATGAAACCAATCTGGAGAGATTCAGGGTTTCAAACATTACAGTATGAGTCAATACTATAATTACACCTAATGAGTAACGTTTCATCCTGAATGTAGGGGAAACTTTAATACTTTTGGCATTGAGAGCTTCACTCCAAAAGGCTTCATACCATTATTTGTTCCAAATTAAAAAATCTAAAGCAATATGACATTCCATCCCTTTCATCCTGCAGTTAGATTTTAAAGCAATTGAAAAAACTGGGATATATCAAAAATTAATAATAATGAGTCAAAACATTTGTGCATGATGACCTTACAAATTGTATCTCCACAATGTTCCTTTTGGGCAAAAAGTCTTTGAAGAGAAAGCCATCCAATATGTAGCTTCAAAATAAGTCTTTGAGTCGACATATCTGACTAAAATAGCCCATGGTGACCATTGCAATGTATCTTTGACAACTCCATCAAGTCAAGTTATATTGGAGAGGTGAGTTAGACTGTTGCAGACATCCACAATGGGCCTGTTTTTATACAATTGTGTGCAGACTGATATGATTTGGTAGAGTTCAACTATGATGCATTACATGCTACAGTTGTTCTTTATGTTGATGTCTTTAGAACATTTGGATAAACTATTATATGTGTATCATTTAAGAGGGGACACTATTTTGGGTATGTCATAGGGTGTACAAAATTGGTTTTCACATTACAACTGCTGACTGATGGTACTCACTCAGTTTATCATACCAGCTCAGCTAGATATTTCTTCAGTATATTTTCAGTATTCAATTACCCATCAATTCATAAACAGTCCTAGAGCTGTAACAAAGTACTTGATGTTTATAAACAATGAAATTCAAAGACTTTTGCTTTATAATTTAATTTACATTTTTTCTATTTTTCTTTTATTCTTCAGTATGGCTTCAGTATTCCAAACCAGCCGATGTGTGTTTTATAACTCTTCATGTAACAGGCTGAAGTGCAGTTAAATGTGTCTTTAGTAGTGTAGTATTCGAGGCCCTGTGTTTGTTGTTTTGAAAGTAATGGAAAGCCTCTCTGTTGTTTTGAAATCCCAATGTTTTTTAAATCTCATTTTCTCAAAGTTCAAGTGCAACATTCAATTCCAATGTTGCTTTGAATCCACATTGTAGTCATAAATTCCAATTTAATGAAGGTGTTTTTAAGTCCAAATGAAGTGTGAAAGTCCCTATATTGTATGACTTAAATTCTAACTGGTAATACTTAGTCCCAATGAAGTGTGAAAGTCCCAATGTCGTGTGACTTGAATTCTAACTGGTAATCCTTAAGTCCCAATGAAGTGTGAAAGTCCCAATGTCGTGTGACTTGAATTCTAACTGGTAATCCTTAAGTCCCAATGAAGTGTGAAAGTCCCAATGTCGTGTGACTTGAATTCTAACTGGTAATCCTTAAGTCCCAATAAAGTATGAAAGTCCCAATGTCGTGTGACTTGAATTCTAACTGGTAATCCTTAAGTCCCAATGAAGTGTGAAAGTCCCAATTCTCAGATGAGATTACATATTACTGCATGCTTTCCTCTTGTTCTCTCCTCCATTTTGATATCTTCTCTTTCAGATCAGGTACTGAAACAAAGTAAACATGGAGTATCAGACAATATATTTATCTAAATAGAACACATAGTACAAATCTGCCTCATAATCACTCAAATTTTCACTCCTCTATTTCCATTTATCGACTGCCGTAAAATGAAAGCGACAATTTGTACTGTTAGCAGACAGATAGATCTCAACGGAATATGAATATTTAGAAGTTTAAAAGACTTTATTTGCTTAGCTTCAAATACACGAGGCATTGACCTACTGATGACATCATAGCGCACCCTTAAAGGGACAGTATCACCACACAATTTCCCCATTCTAAACAAATATGACAATGTATAATACAGAAATTGGTTCAAGGTTCTGTCACATAAGTTTCAAATGGAATTCAACATACAACTGCTTTTGGTTGTTGGTTAGTGGTAAGGTTGGTGATAAAAGCAAGCTCAATTCAATAATCTGCAGAGTGCAAACAAATATGTTTTACAGAACCTTTTTCAACAAAAAAATGTTGTTTAAAATTATTGCATTACATGTATATACCTGGTATCAGTTCTTCTTCAGTAAGGTTCTCCCTGTTGAATGGGTCAGTTTGGGAGTTGAGCAGGTGGCGCAGAATGATTGGCCTGTCCATGATCATACCACTAGGAAGTAGCACAGGGTCATTCATCAATGTATCCATCAATGGATCTAGAATAAATCAAACAATGAAGTGAATAATTGAATAGGATTGATTGGTCTGTCCATGATCATACCACTAGAGAGTAGCATGGGGTCATTCATCAATGTATCCATCAATGGATCTAGAATAAATCAAACAATGAAGTGAATAATTGAATAGGAATGATTGGTCTGTCCATGATCATACCATTAGGGAGTAGCACAGGGTCATTCATCAATGTATCCATCAATGGATCTAGAATAAATCAAACAATGAAGTGAATAATTGAGTAGGAATGATTGGTCTGTCCATGATCATACCATTAGGGAGTAGCACAGGGTCATTCATCAATGTATCCATCAATGGATCTAGAACAAATCAAACAATGAAGTGAATAATTGAATAGGAATGATTGGTCTGTCCATGATCATACCACTAGAGAGTAGCACAGGGTCATTCATCAATGTATCCATCAATGGATCTAGAACAAATCAAACAATGAAGTGAATAATTGAATAGGAATGATTGGTCTGTCCATGATCATACCACTAGAGAGTAGCACAGGGTCATTCATCAATGTATCCATCAATAGATCTAGAATAAATCAAATAATGAAGTGAATAATTGAATAGAAATGATTGGTCTGTCCATGATCATACCACTAGGAAGTAGCACAGGTTCATTCATCAATGTATCCATCAATGGATCTAGAACAAATCAAACAATGAAGTGAATAATTGAATAGGAATGATTGGTCTGTCCATGATCATACCACTAGAGTAGCACAGGGTCATTCATCAATGTATCCATCAATGGATCTAGAACAAATCAAACAATGAAGTGAATAATTGAATAGGAATGATTGGTCTGTCCATGATCATACCACTAGAGAGTAGCACAGGGTCATTCATCAATGTATCCATCAATGGATCTAGAATGAATCAAACAATGAAGTGAATAATTGAATAGGAATGATTGGTCTGTCCATGATCATACCACTAGAGAGTAGCACAGGGTCATTCATCAATGTATCCATCAATGGATCTAGAACAAATCAAACAATGAAGTGAATAATTGAATAGGAATGATTGGTCTGTCCATGATCATACCACTAGAGAGTAGCACAGGGTCATTCATCAATGTATCCATCAATGGATCTAGAATAAATCAAACAGTGAAGTGAATAATTGAATAGGAATGATTGGTCTGTGTATGTCCATCACAGTGGGTTAGGATTGGATGACTTTATTAGGAGTTGAGCATTCCACTTCATAATATAGGCCTAATATGTGTAATACAGAAGAATGTTGATCACAATATAGATCACTGAAAAGCTTGAATGTAAGAGCAGAGTTTGGCAAATCCTTCTACACAAAATCCAAGCTTGATTTTAGGTGTATTACTGAAATTACTTATCATGCTATCTTCATGATGCAGCAACGATATGATGACACAGATGCTTGTATGCTTATTGTTTACCTTTAAACTCATCCGGAATGTTTTCATGGTCCACTTCAGTCCTCATCTTCTTGAGAACTAAGTTTTGCACTTTCTCTTGTAGAGCCCTGAACTGTTCAATCTCTTGGTTTGTCTTTATTCTGGCTTTAGTCATGCGAGCTATGGCATCATCAAACAGCTCCTTGGAGTAGGACCTCTGGAGCAAGGATATGGATGTATATATAAATTGAATGAATATAAAACTATTGAAGCACAATATTGTTATTGACTAATATGAAGAATGAAAGTGTTCTAGAATGAATAAAAAGTAAATTATGCATACTCATAGTAGATAAAATGTAAATTAGACATGGGATCCAATGGATGAATGCAACACCATATTTTATGAATATTAACGTTTAAGCGCATAGCTCTAAAAACCACACAAAATTTGTGATTTCTATAATTATTATGATCTACAAGGAGGCTTTTTTGAAAAAAGTAATGTACTTGAAACCACAAACTCTGTTACCAGTCTTCTATCTATGCCAAGAATTCATACAGATCTGTATTTGTATATATAAGGCAGCTCTATTACAAGCTTGACAAAATCTTGTCTGGCTTATAAAGGACTGTTATCATCAGATATCAGTTTACAAAAACTATTGCTCTTACCTCATCACTGGCAATTGCCTGAGCAAACTTGTCACAGTCCAAATGTAGATATATATCTGTCAGATGATTCAAAAGCTTCTTCGGTTCCCAGCCATATTTTTCAGGGTTTTTCACTTTGAGATTTTTACATTTTGGGCCGCATAGTGAGCGGAGGTTGAAGTTCAACATTGCAGCTAATCTGTGTGAGAGCTCCTAAAACATAAAAAGAACAGTTTGACATATGTTTATGTTTCTTTATTTGGACCATAGATTGATCACACAAATATATATAAACATATATTAAAGTTTAAAATACATAGTTATATGTCCCTGAGATACAGTGGTTGGACATATAGTTTTAAAATATGATTATTTTCTAATGTATTCTTAGGTACTATACTAAGGTTGGCAACATGACTGGCACAAGTTCCATGTTGGCAATAAGTCTGTTGCTGGAATGCTCATTTTTTCAAAGTTCATTTCCAAGAATAATAAAAAAAAGTGATTGCCATTGGTATTTAGGCAGTAGTGAATTTTAAACATATTAATATACAACTTTAACATTACTTGAGACAACATGCCAACAATGGAACTGGAACAGTACAAACAATACATACGGGTATAAGAAATGGATCTACGATGCACTTGGTGAGATAGTGGAACATTTCCACAGTTTCTGAAGCAAGGGTGAGGTATGACCTGCATTGTCTCTCATCTGTGGAAAGCTGTTTTTGTTTACTTTGTTGTTGCTCCTGAAAAACATTAACCAAGTTATGCACAAAAGGCTCTCGCTTTCAATACAAGGGGTCACAAATGACTTAATGAAAATAATTTAAACACAGGGGATTGTCTTATAAACTACAGCTTGGTTGTTTGCATGGCCTATTATCACCAATAATAGTACAATAACGTCATTCCAAAGGGCAATATGGTGAAATATTGGACCAAGGGCCGCAGGCCCAAGGTCCAATATTTCACTATTTTGCCCGCAGAAATGACGTTATTACTATTATTACCACCGTTAATGACCAGGGCTGAAATAGCAAATTTGAAATAGAAAATCTTACGCACTGAACGATATCACTTTTCTCGGGAAACATAGCCGGGCGGATAATGTCATTATTGCCCAACTAAAGTCATTAACGCCCGACACAATATTGCTCACGTCAATATAGCAATTTAAATGCCTTCTCAACTAGTACTAAAACCCCTAGAACAGGCCCTGCAAGGTGGTAATAATAACTATTAGTTAAGTTTTTGTTTCAAACTTCATTACAAATTCAAAGTACAATGGTTACACTGGATGTCAATAATACTCTGCCAAGATTAGAATTTTGATGGTTTGTGTACCTTGGCACAGGTTATTTGTTACTTACTCTGGACAGTTTGTTGAACTCTTCTTTATTCTCCATGAGCTCCTGTATCTCATGTATGCTCTTCAGTGTGTCTAGGCTCTCATCAAGCAGAAATGTTGTGTCATTCATCAGCATGTTTACAAATTTCACAAACTGTTTCCCTGACCTGAATATTACAGAATAATGGAAAAATTGTTAATTGGGAGGAAAGATAAAGTGATGATCTACATACATATGTATATGAACAGTCTCTCATTGTGCGACATGTATGAAAGTTCCAGAAAATTAAGTCTAAATTCTTTGACAGTTAACAGAATGTACCTGGACTTGTTGCATATACTAACATAACCATATTACACTTACTTGGTGACATTGTACAAATGTACATACTTGCCCTCATTGTAATTACTTAAACTTATTTTACATCCACACACTTGGTCACACTGTAATAACTTAAAATCATTGTATGTACTTTGCCTCATTGTGCATACATGGCATCAATGAACATACTTGGCATAAGCAATTACTTACCTTATTGTAAATACTTTACTTTCTTGTACTTAATTGGTGTCATTGTAATTACTTAATCTTATTGTAAATTCTTTACTTCATTGTACATACTTGGCATAAGCAATTACTTCACCTTATTGTAAATACTTTGCCTCCTTGTACTTAATTGGCACCATTGTAATTACTTAATTTTATTGTAAATTCTTTACTTCATTGTACATACTTGGCACCATTGTAATTACATCACCTTATTGTAAATGTTTTGCCTCATTGTACTTAATTGGCACCATTGTAATTACTTAATCTTATTGTAAATTCTTCACTTCATTGTATATACTTGGCATAAGCAATTACTTACCTTATTGTAAATACTTTGCCTCCTTGTACTTAATTGGCACCATTGTAATTACTTAATCTTATTGTAAATTCTTCACTTCATTGTATATACTTGGCATAAGCAATTACTTACCTTATTGTAAATACTTTGCCTCCTTGTACTTAATTGGCACCATTGTAATTACTTAATTTTATTGTAAATTCTTTACTTCATTGTACATACTTGGCATAAGCAATTACTTACCTTATTGTAAATACTTTGCCTCCTTGTACTTAATTGGCACCATTGTAATTACTTAATCTTATTGTAAATTCTTCACTTCATTGTATATACTTGGCATAAGCAATTACTTACCTTATTGTAAATACTTTGCCTCCTTGTACTTAATTGGCACCATTGTAATTACTTAATCTTACTGTAATTTCTTTACTTCATTGTACATACTTGGCACCATTGTAATTACTTCACCTTATTGTAAATGTTTTGCTTCCTTGTACTTAATTGGCACCATTGTAATTACTTAATTTTATTGTAAATTCTTTACTTCATTGTACATACTTGGCACCATTGTAATTACTTCACCTTATTGTAAATATTTTGCCTCCTTGTACTTAATTGGCACCATTGTAATTACTTAATTTTATTGTAAATTCTTTACTTCATTGTACATACTTGGCACCATTGTAATTACTTCACCTTATTGTAAATATTTTGCCTCCTTGTACTTAATTGGCACCATTGTAATTACTTAATTTTATTGTAAATTCTTTACTTCATTGTACATACTTGCCACCATTGTAATTACTTCACCTTATTGTAAATGTTTTGCCTCATTGTACTTACTTGGCCTCTGAAATGAACCTGGACCTATGAGAAGGCATCTCCCACATAGTCTTGAAGATAATGCTTATATGGTAACGGATTGTGAACTTATCATAGAACTCATTACTGGAGCCAGTTGTCTCAATGTCTAAAACAGAAGAGGAATCTTTAGTTATTGGCATATATTTTATTATTTCAACAATAAGAATTTTGTTTTCATTCACTGAATAGTTACAGTAAAATGTATTAATCAATATAGACTAATAGTACATCAAAAAATGAAGATTTAAGCCATACCAGTGTAAAATATCATAAGTGCTGGAGCGAGATTATCCAGGGCGAGATCGTGCAGCATTACCATATTGTTCAATTTCTCTGTCCTTGGCTGTACATTAGGGTTGATAACAAAGACAACTTCAATGAGTTTGGCCACTAGGTAGGGGTTGCTGATGTAAGTGGGGGAACAAATGAACACAATGAGGAACGTTATGATGGGATCTAGGTTAACATCAGCCAGTATGCTGGGCATGTACCTGAAATATAATGAATAATGGGTCAGTTTAGATATTGTACACATTGGGCGAGAATATGAACATTTTTATAAAATCAGAATTCAGGCAAGATTCTTTTTATTTATGGAAAACTGGACAATTTTATTTCACACAGTACAAGAAAATATTTTGTGTTCTGATGTTATATACCAGATGTTTACATTTTAATCATTTTTACGAGGACAAAAATGGGACTGGAAAAAATTGTTCTGTTCAAAAGGTACTGAAATGTAATTGAAAAGCATCAGAAATTGTAACGAAAAGTAGACTCACTGTATTGCAAATAGGAGGAAGTCTGCCATATCGTCCACTGTGTACTCAGGCAGGGCAGAGAACAGCATAGGGACATCTGTTGCTAGAGGTAATGTAGGCCTGCAATAACATATTGTTACTGATATTAAGCATGTGTTATAATCTTGTTTTGATTATTTCATTGAGTCATCAAAGTAGCAGGAAAAAATAAACAAAACCATGTGTACCTTACAATTCAAAATTCAATGTGGAAAAAATTAAGGTATTGGTTGAAACAGGATCAAAGTAATTGATGATTTAAGATGCAGAAATGTAAAAATAAATGGGCAGCATTTAAAAATCAAGGCACTTCATGAAATCAAGTCTGAACTGGAAACAGAAGATAGCAATGAAAACCCAAGACCTGAAATAATTGGAATTTTTTTTGATAAAGTTTGCTACTCTTATCCATTCCTTCATTGCCCCTATAATCTTTAAAATCCAACAGATTAGAAAATCTAAAATTAATTATAAATAAACAAAACAGAAATCATATAAACAGAACTTACCCACTGGGTTTAGAATCAACTATGTTAAGTATAAATTGTGCCAGTGAACTGTAAAACTGGAGACACCGCCTCAAGAGACTCTCATCCATCAAAGCAGCATCTGCACACAGTTTGCCCTTTTGAAGTCTCTGAAAAATCACATGACAATGTTTGAAACACTGAATGTACATGATCTCTATTTCTAGTCACAAATAATGTTCACATTTCAAGCTTTTTAACACTGGAGTCAATGGGAGGAAAAACGGGACAGAAAAAATGTTCAGATTGGGAGATGTTCAGATTAACTAGGTGAATATACAGGTTTTACTATAAAGTGTGCTTGTGCAGTTGTTTGTCACATTTGAATATGAATATTGCTTCTACAATTTTGGTACCTAAGCAAGCTAGCATTTTCAGAATACAAACTGGTTAAGTTCACTGGCCTCTAAATTATTAAAGATGATTTTACACTTTTTCACATCTTGTATCAATCTCGTCTGTAACTGTCATGTTTTTTATGGGAGTTAAAATGTAAAAAGAAAGAAAATGTTATGTCATGCTTTTCTGATTAAGTGTTTAACACATTGGAAGAGTGAATATGTTCAAAGCAGCCCACCTGAACTTGAGATTTCCACCTCTTAATCAGTTCTTTATTGCGCATTGCTACTGGTGTGTTAGCCCATTGTGGCTCGGCACTCTGGATCTCATCTACCATGCGTGATAAGTCACGTATTGCACGTAATCTACGTTGGTACTTCCTGGCAATGGGGAGCACGGCCAGGTGGTGGCAATGCAGGGTGAGGAAGAAACACTCTGTCGGGAACTTGGGATCTGGCCAGCTATGAGTAGGGTTAGCTTCTATAATAAAACATTAATTAAATTTCACATGTTTATATCAAATTATGCACTTCTATTGTACACTGATTTTTTCACATTTTGAAATTTTGAACGAAATATAAATAAATTCAACAATTCAGAGCTTCCACAGAGCTTCCATGTTATACAAATCAAAGCTTAGTACTTGAATACTCAAGGCTTACTCATTGTATCTATCCAGTTGTTTGCTTCCTGAGAGCTGCACTTCAGCCTTGTCTCCTCTTTGATGTCTATGCGTGATTTAGGATGATTTAGATAACAAAGATCTACTTTGTCTAGTTTGACTTTCACTGCAAGTTGCTGAAGGACTGTGAGAAAGTTTAGCATGAACCCATCTCCACTGACTAGTCTTTCATCTGCCTGGAAAAATATTATCAAGTTTAATTAATTTTTGGTATTGTGGTATTGTACTTTAAATAAAGAAATGCTGTTACCAGACATACAATTATATAAAATATCCCAAGATTAGCATTATTCATTTAAAATTATTTTAAACAATAAATGTACTTAAAACAAATAAACAAAATGACACTTATTTGTAAAATTCAAGATGGCTGATTTTTAAATACCTGTAATTGTGAGCGTTTGTGGTTCCTACATGTAGCTGCAGCTATGAAAGACATGGCTGCATCCCTAGTCTCAGAGTTCACTAAAATACTGTGTAGGATCTTAAATTGTTCCCCCTACAATGAAGCAAATAAACATATTTAATAAATAGAGTTCTTCCGTTGACCAACTGGCAGCAGGACCTGTAAAATAACCTCTGAAACAGCAAAGTTGATAAAATGAAACAAAGAAAAAAAAGAATAAATTTTAACGAAAAATTTATGGTATGCATTTTCTGTGAGCAACCATATAACTACAATTTGGGTGTATTAAATGGATATAAGACTTACCCTTGCAAACTCCATGGCTTGTTGCAGAGATTTGTTGATCATCCTGGCACTATCAGCTGTCATCTCAGGGTTGGAGAAATAGGCATCCACCACACTTGTCTAAAACCATATACACATCAAATCATTGGCATTACCAATTCTTTATAAATGTCTAAAATCATGAAATTCCCAAATTGTAAATAGAAAGAACAACTAAGTCCAAGGTTATTCTTAATATTTCCTCTGGTTGACCTAATCAAAGCTAATTGGCTATGGTCCTCTTAACTTGTAAATTTTGTAAAATCACTGAATTAAAATGCTTACTAAATCAAATATGAATGTAGTATTTGTATGACTACTTACATCATCTTCAGCAAAGACAGAGATACCAAAGAAAGCTCCCAAGATGGACAATCTTTCAATTTCCAATCCTGCAGCTGGGCTTAACGAATCTGGCAACCAGTTATCTAGTTTGGTTATCTAAATAATAAATAAATAATAACTAGCATTAGTAGAGAATACAGGCTGTATTAAAAGTAACAGGTCTGGTGCTGGCATTTTGTTAAAAGTATTAATGTCCATCATCATTTCACGAGATTTTCATATCCCTAAATGCTCTAAATTTTCCCTTCGCTATCTAGGTCCTAATCTTTGGAATGCTCTACCAGATGATATTAAAAAATGCTCCACTCTAAATATTTTCAAATCTTCATATAAAAAACTACTCATCTATCGATAATGTATAATACTGTACTGTTGATTTTTGATTTTTATACTGGTACCCGATTTTTTGTAACATTTCTACATTGTACATCCTTAAAGTATTATTGTTAATAACATTTTATATACCTACATGTAACATAAGTGCTTTCTTTTATATGTAGTCTAGATGTCATTTTAAAAATTTCTGTTAAACCGCAACATATACCCACTAGGGTGTCCAGCGGCTTGTTTTTATAGTGTATATTATATAAGAATTATGAAATAAATAAATTGAATTAAATTCTGCGCCAATTATGTTCAAATTTTTTCTGACATCTTAGACCATACAGACTTCTCTCATGATCGTGTAATATCTCACTTCAAATGGTATGCATTGATAGCTAATCTGGAGGGTCAAATCGTCATGGAGAAGAGTGAGTCTTCACTGACTTGTGAAATCTACCCTTCCTGACATGTCAGCTAGTCTGTTTGAGTCAAGGCTCTAGCACCACTATACCAGTTTTGAAATTCTTTCCAGTGTAGTAGAATGTATGAACAGGATCTGTTCAGTATTAATAAAAAAAGACAGCACCTGTCCTGTTACTTTTGGTTACCTTGTACCCAATAAGTTTGATAGATATTCTACCCAGTTAAATTACACAATAAAATTAACTACAAGGGAGAAGATTAAATGGAAAGTCACCACAGGATGTTTATAAACAAAAATTAAAGTGGTCTCTTTTGAAAGGATTAAATGCATGTCAAATTCTATGAATGTATTTGGAAATATAACCCAGCTCTCAATTGCAGAATCTCCGACCAAAATGAAAATGTATGTTTAATAGTAAATTCAATTCTTTTTTGGAATTGAATCATAACAGATTTCTGTAAAATATCTTACCAGGTTACATATAGGTCTTGTATTTGATATTTTGACATCACAAAGTTCACTGAACACAATCAAAGGTTGCCTAAACTCTGGGTTGTCAAATGATATTGATCTCATCACAGATGCCAACCCTTGTAAAACTGGCTCAAATACCTGCAAATATACACAAATTGCAAATATTATTTAATATTGATAAAAATTGGTAGTTTACACCTCTTTGTGTTCTTTAAATATTTTATTGAAATTGCTTTTGCAATGTTATATCATATTACACAAAGTATTTTCCATCAATTTTTGTAATTTCCATTATTTAAACACTTGAAAAGGTGTTGCATATGGAGGTTTGATCAAAATTTAAGATATCTAATATTAGTCTATATTGTACTATAGCAGAATTTAATGAATAATTGGTGAACATACTGCTCTGAATGAATCCTTGTCCTGGTATGTGATAGTCATAAGTTGTATAAGGAAGTCCCTGGGTAGATTGTGTGACAGCAGATATGGCACAAGAACAGATAATTTAGCAGGTGATCTGAAATATGGCACATAGAACAGTCAGTTAAGCAAATGACCTGAAATATGGCACAAGAACAGATAACTTAACAGGTGCCTTGATATAATCAGTCAAGTTCCTTAAATGGGATAAAATAAATGGGATAAAAAAATCATATTCACTATACCCAGGCTTACAATCTTTTATTCAAACTACACATTATTCCTGTTTTCAGAACTAACCTTATCTGTGTAAATACACCTTGGAGCACCAATGCTGTGTGACATACACACTGACACCTTATGTCTGCAAGGACGTCACTCAATGGTGGTGTTTTACTTCTCTTAGGGGCTGACCTCTCTTCTACAGAGACTCGATCATAGCAATCCATCAGGTAGGTGATCATATTCACCTCAGCACATTTTTCTGGCTGAACCTTCTTGTATGTAAATTCCCGACTAGTTTGTTGTGATGTCATACACGATGACAGTGGGCTAGGACTGAAACATGATTTTCAGTGTAAAAAATAATGTAACAAAAATTATGAGTAAATTTTGAATAGCAATCACTTTTGAGTGATAGTATATCACTTACAATTTTGCATGTATAGCACATCTTTTAACCTATAAAATATTATAATGAATCATAATATTTTGGATCATGTACATTATTTTGTGTTTTAAAGTAATTCAATTAACTTACCTTTTAGGACTAGCTCCGTATTTACTTGGAGACCCATATTTGCTTGGAGAACTAGGAGGTTCTAGTTTCAAAGTTGTGAAAGGGTTTTCCTGTTTGTTCTTCAAAATCATTAATACTTCTAATAACAACTGACTTATTAGGTCCTTGTGATCCAACCAACCTACAAAACAACCACAAACATCTTGTAAAAACACATTAATGTGACAAAAAGTAATTAATTTGTCAGTTGTTGAAAATTGTTACATAAATGTTACATTGCTATTTGCTAGTATTACATAAGTTTTATCTAATAATAAAACATTAACAGTGAAGAGAATATATTTGTACTCTTTGTAGGAAAAAATTATCATATTTTCCTGACATCTCTAATCCCATTTCCCTCATGGGGAGTGGGCAGAGATTTAAAACAAGACTTGTCATTTCAATTCAAACTCATTTTATATAAATATTTTTTCAATCAAATACATAAAGGAGGACAAAAGATGCACAACATGAGTTAATACTTCTATATACTACTACATTTGTATAGGTGAAAATGTTTAAGGATAAAGTTTTAAAAATATCACAGATCAAGATATACACAAGTGTACTAAATCAACATTATGTAGTTACCATCTCCCGATTTAGCAGCTTCAGCTAGTTCTGGAAGGGCAATAGTATTTCCCTGACTGGCCTCAGCATTGTTCCAGGACACACGGAATACTCTCCTAATGGAATTCTGGACATGCTCTTCAGTGGCTTCATTAATACTTGACTGCTAAAATATATATAATATAAAGGCATTTATAATATACATAACATTTACAATTCATGAACACAAATGTCTTTATCTGATATGTATAACAAAGCAGCTTGCATAAGATTTAGCTGGGATAATCATTTCTATAAAGGTTTAACAGCAGTTCACTGACATGTATGTTCATATATAGGGTGAGCCAAAAAAGGTAACCAAACCTAAAGAAATCTTAATAACTCAGTGGTCCAATATGGGTTTTAAGTCATAATTAGCAAAACTGAACTCTATTCAAATTTTCTTTCATTCCACAATATTCCTTTGAAATAACCACAAAGATAAAATTCTGGGGGCTCATATTGGGTGATTTTAGTATTGTTTTGACATTTGCAGCATGTTTCGTAAAATGGCCATAAAATCATGACATTTTGGAACAGACCAATGATACCTATTAGAATCAAAGAACATTAAAAAAGGTTCAATTCTGCTGAATATTACTTAACTTAACTTAACTTACCCATGCTGGATGATTAAGTTATTAAGATTTGTTTGGGTTACCTTTTTGGCTCACCCTGTATATTGAACATGAAATGATAGGTAACAGTTTTTTTATATATGATTCTTTATATGATCTTTATTTCTGATAATTTTGAACATTATGAATAAAACATTTGCATGTTTACCCGTTTTCTTTTGCTTTCATTTGGTTCTGTGTCATCAACTTCCATCGTTTCTATACCAGAGTCAGCATCCATTTGAGCCTGCACTGCACTGGAACATTGCAATTTGTATGAATATTTTGGTTATAATATACATGTCTTGTCATTATGAACATTTTTAGTTCTACCTCCTGCGTACAACATTTCTCTGGACTGGAAACTGGACTCACAAAACACATTTGTTTAAACTATTGATGTTCTAATTAGTAATATATCAGGAAACAGAAAAGTTAATAATTACGTTTTTTCTCCAGCAGCATCTATTTCCATGCTTTGAAGTTCTGATGTCATTGAGCCTGCGGAAGACAATGAAGCAGTTGGTGCAGCTGAAACACAAGAAGACACTCAAAATATAAGATTATGATTATATGTTCAATAATAAATATTAACTTACTTTGAGAAATGATATCATTAACTGCATATTGTTAACTGTTGCTATATGCTTTACATACCTGATTCCATACTCGCCGATGAATCAACACTTTCTCGTACTATCTCTAACATTGGGACATTATCATCAGTTGGTTGAGTGCTCGACTGAGAGGCAGATTCTGTTTGAGGAACTTGAGGCATAGAAACAGAAGAGGTCTGTTCACTGTTGGGAAGAGATGTCGATGATGATGCAGCATTACCACCAGCTAGTCGAGCTAAACGCTTACGGCGTACCTGTGCACAGAATGAGTAGTAGCATCAAAATATTTAAGTTTTAAGGATTTTGTCACCAGAATTCGCAACTTCATGAGCCTTGAGCCTCCCATTTGATTGGCCCATAAATTACTTTCAAAATTAGGGCTATTACATCAATGGCAGAAAAATAGATGACTTGAATTATGAATAGATGACTTGAATTATGAATAGATGACTTGAATTATGAATAGATGACTTGAATTACGAATAGATGACTTGAATTATGAATAGATGACTTGAATTATGAATCATAAACTATATCAAGGATCAATAACGTTTTATTAAAAATGTTCAACAGGCCTCGAAATTAGCATTGTGAAGGTAGCGCTTTGCTACATGTTTTACCCAAAAAACACTACTTGTAATTTCCTCCAGCTAGCTAACTTCACTAGTACCTCACCTTTATCGCATCCTACAACCCCTTTAGATTGTGGTCATACGCGCGTATAATTGGTCAGTCAATGTTTTTACAAAGTTGGAGAAAATACTACACATTACCCACCTAAATGACCTACCTCGATACATTCCTTAGTATTTTAGAATTCTTTTTATGTAGTTGAATCGCCAATTGTATGGGTTTATCGGCAGAATGAAGAGGTTTTCGTTTTTGATAGCAATATTTGCGTGTAATATTAAACTTATTTCAACCGTCAAATTCCTCCATTCAGTTCCCGGCATGCACCAGTCATAAGGGAAATCCCTGGGGAATTCCCCTTCCGACATTTTGAAAATTGCTGATATATTTCCGATGTAAAAACTAAAATCTCTTCGTTCTACCGATGAACCCATACAATAAAAAAAGAATTCTAAAATACTAAGGAATGTATCGAGGTGGGTCATTTAGGTGTACAATGCGTAGTATTTTCTCCAACTTTGTAAAAACATCGACTGACCAATTATACGCGCGTACGACCACAATCTAAAGGGGTCGTAGGATGCGATAACCTCACCTTACGACTCTCCATGTGAAAAAACATGGATTTTCTATTAATTCGTCGATCAGCTGATCTTTTGTTGTTTCTTGTTCGAATCGAACCACAACAATAAGAATAAAGATCACTCTTACCATACCCTTCTAATTGAAAGCCCATGCTCTTATCTAGTTGAAAGCCCATGCTCTTATCAAAAACATCACTAGTCTACCTGCTTCTCTCAAATAGCTACAGTACCTGTAAAATTCACTAAGTAGTGAAACGACTACCTGATAAAAAAAGTTAAGCGCGAGGCCTGTTGAATAATGAAGACAGGCCAACAATCAATTGAAAGTGACTCAGTGAGTGACTGTGTTAAAAGAAAAAATCTTTAAAAAATAATCTACTATTCCTATCGTTGATTACTCACTTCATCTGGGTTCAGTCCACTCATCCTTCCGAAAATATAATTTTTGAGTATGTACTCTAAAGGCGACAGTCGATTATTTTCGTTAGATCGGTGATATAAACACAAAAACAGCAAAAGTTTGCTGTGTTTTGAGAAAACAAAGTCAAAAATCTGGGTCGTGACGTCATTCAACCTTCACCTTCAAACACACTTCGTACATATTTATTTTATATGTATTAGATATTAGATATAGTGTATACCTTATCAAATACAGTAATAGTTCAACGTAATATGTATTTTCTAACATTTTTCACTATATCTAAATGACAAAATTATTCTATATTTGAATCTAAGCTTTATTAATTTTTAGAGCTGATGCATGTGTCCACATGTCCACTTCCGGCTAACGTTCAAAAGTTTTTGATGGATTTTTGACGAACATTTGTGAAGATTTACTAACATCATTGGTGCTTTTGATTCAACAGGTATCAATGGTGAGTGCATATATCAATACTCTTTCGATTGTAACATTATTATGTAAAGCTGGCTATTATATTCTCGGGAAGTTATATCAAGTCCTTTTTGGGCCTTACCATGGGGTGTTACTAAATACCACCTAGGTGTCCCCTTGGGCACCTGGATTTCTAATTCCATTTTAAACCTCGTACATATTTTGAATATAGTATTATTTCCTTCGTCATATTGACCTGACATTGAATAGGCTTGAAATAATAATTTGTAGTCGAGAATATAGCAAAGAAGATTCGAAAATAAAATGTAAAAAGTTTTATTGTTATAAAATGAGCACCTGGAATTTTGCTCATATGTATGGTTACTTATTTGTAGTAATAAAACACCATTAATGCTGAAATTCTAAAGTGTGCATTTATATTTGAAATATATATATTGTTCATACTTGTTGCTAAAATAGTGAATTTGTAGCATTTTATAGTGAGCAAATAATGAAATATTATTCTTACAAATGACTTTCGACATCGATCAAAATTTTCAAGACAATTAAAAATATCATAAACAAACAGAAATATTTACACAAGTTCCGCGAAAATACTTTATTATGTACCATATTAACACTTGGAAAAATGTTATCTTGAAATAAAGTAGTAAAATATGCCAGTAAGGCATTTCAATGGGGACACCTAGGTGTGGGGCACCTAGGTGGTATTTAGCACAATATTTTCTTAAACATTAACCAAACCTGTCTGGCCCAGTTATCTACTCCCGACCTCGTAGATCTGGGCCAGACTAGCTCCAATGCAAAACAAAAAAAGGGGTATTTACTCCGGAAAAAACACACTGTCTTTTCAATGTATAATACGTTCTAATAAATGAATAAACATCATAAAAAACACTGGGATCTACGAGGTCGGGAGTAGATAACTGGGCCAGACAGGTTTGGTTAATGTTTAAGAAAATATACATATTTGCGAACATATAGTACAGAAGACAACAGAATCGCCGATTTAATTCCTCACTTAAGGTCAGGGTGCATAATGGGAAATTTTCTGCATTCTTCATATTGAGTCACATGTTATTTTTCAAACAAGAATCACTCCTTCCCCACATTGTCTATATACCAGTTTTGCACAAAGAGTGCACTTTTGTGCCTAGAAAAGACTAGTGAGAAGATTTGTTTTGTAAAATGTATAAATTCACTGAATTTTCTTGTTTTTTATACACTTTATCAAAAGATTCTTCTCACAATCAAACAAACAAACATGGCGAAAGAAATTTGCGTTTCTGCGGTCGTAATGTGATTTAGTAAAAATTTGATGTCAAAATTCCTAATCTGTCATATAAACGCAAAAAAGCAAGAAATTTGAAGTTTTTTACTTGAGTTCACGCATAAAATCGCTAAAATGAAATATTTCATTTCATTAGTCTACCATCTTGAACAGGTGAATGTTCTTTTCACAATTTTTTTATGTAAAATCCTTACTTTCTAATTAGCCTTTCCCAATGGCCATGATGATATCATGGCCATTACGCGTACCTATATTTATAATGACGCAGCAGCAAACTGCGATAAACTATGCACCTACCCTATCTTTGAATGCTCCGAAAGCACTCTGCTAAGTTTTTAGTGAAGTAATTTGGTATTTCATGAGTAATTGGGAGATTTTTGTCAAAAATTTGGAACTAATTTTGAAAATTAAAATCCTCTTGATGCGCATGCGTGTGTCAAACTAATAGCGTGTTTAACTAATCAAAATCATTATTTCAATACTAGTTTAATAACATAAATGGACAATTATATGAATATATATAAATTATATGTATTGTATAGTATTTATTTCATATATTTAAGGCCTTAGGCCCATATACATTGTAGTTAGTATACAAAACATATGAAAAGAATATGATATCTCGCTACACGTTTTGTAGCTTTATCAAAATCTTATTATAATAATTTCGTTTCTTGGTGTTATATAGATTTGCATAACGACCAGAGGAACCAGAATTTCTAAGTTGAAATTGCTTGGACATTTTACTTATAGAACGAAGGATTTACGATAATTAAGAACTCAAAAATTACAATTTCAACTGTATAAGTGAGACAGGAAAGAAGTGGGCTGGTCAAATAAAGGGTAGGTCTCCAACTAACATCATAATTCTAACATTCATGAGTGCAAAATTCTGCGACAATCTATTCAATGGTATGCGAGATGTCCCTAGTAGGACTAGGGACATCTTGAAGTCTATTTCTAATTCGCAAAATCCACAATCGTATTTGCAAAATTTTGGAAAAAAGCAAATTTTTTTGGGGGAAGACTGAGCTGTGGGATAATTATCCCAACGAACGAAGTTCGGTAGGGATATAGTGAAGCCCTCCGTCCGTCAGTCCGTCAGTCAGTCCGTCCGTCCGTCCGTCCGGAAGATAACTCAAATACGAGTTGACGGATTTTCTTCATATTTAGTGGAAAGATGTATATTGGTGAATAGTTGTACGCAAAAAAAAAATTTTTCAAGATGGCTGCCGCTTTAAAAATGACGGGACTTTTTCGCAAAAACCATAAATTTTTCATTCTAAACCAAAGTAATTAATATTATTGTTTGAAATTTTGGTAGTATATTCGCAACATCTATCTATTTCACATATATTCCGTGTTTTTCATCCTGACCCCCAGGGGCTGTGTATGGGGGGTCAGGAAAACAGTAATTTTCGCTAATTTTTAGATCTTTCTGAAGTATAGCTTTATTATACTCAAATGAAAGGCAATTAAGAGTAGATTGCAAATATTGTATCTTTTTTCTGATTCGAGCCTCGTAAAATTCAAAATGGCCGTCTAATGTACGATTTCGCAATAATTTTTTGATCCTTTCAAAGTATGGCTATATTATACTCAAATTGAAGGAATTTTGGAGTAGATCACAATTATGGTATTATTCTTCAGATTTGTACCTCAGAAAATTCAAAATGGCTGCTTTGCAGGAATTCGCAATTCTAAAATTAAAATTTTTCAATTTTAACCAAAGTAATGAGTATAATTGATTGGAATTCGGTAATTGATATTTTGTTCGTTGGGATTTGCTACTCCGCAGAGTTGCCATTGTCTAGTTAATTCTGTGAAGTACTTTGACCCAGAAAAATATGAAATTTACATGAGATAAATTTGTCTACTTACAAGTATGTGACGACAGTGAAGGTAGCAATATACATAATGGCATTGAAGATCGATTGTCGAGTTGGGTAATCTGCACAAGGTTCAGTTTTTACTCAGTTTGTTTTAAGATGTAAGATATATTTAAGAAGGTGCAAAGCAATGGTGAAGAATTGAATGATGTACAAAAGATGCCAAATATCAGGTTGTAAATCCCTAAAATGATAAAGATAAAGGAGAATAGCAGCAGGGTTTCCATTTTACCACCCTGTATATGCACTCCTGTTGGATGAACCCTTTTGTACTTTTTGTACCAAATGATAATATTCCCGCATATAAGGTGCATTAAATAATGATGATTGCGCTTGTGTTTTAATAATTTGAACAAATCAAATTGCTGGATTTAATGTGCATGCGCAGAAAAGCAAACCAAAATTGAACCTCGCGCAGATTGCCCCAAGTGCGATTGTTGGGAAAAGGACCTATTATCCATTGTTCTTTATTAATGTCTGTTTTGACCTTATATGTCTTTTATGATCAATGTCCTTTATTGGTAAATGGATCTAAAGTTCCTACATATAAGCTGAGACTTTATATGATTTTCTTCCTCACTTTATTTTCTTATTTTCAATTGTACAAAGTTCTACTCAATTCCATCACTTATAGATCTTAAACATTCCTCCACTTTCCAAACCCATCTTATTTTTTTTTATCTGCCCTCTCCTGACTTTCTAACCCACACTTGTCTCATTTGTTCATACTTTTATACCCAGGCATTTAGTCTATGACATTGGCTTTCAAAAGGTCCTTTTGTTCTATAATAGTCTATTTTGCTGCTCAAGACACCTTCATTGGTACTCACCTAGTTACGCTGACGATACATCAGCGTAACAAGATGGAAGAACTTCCGGGCTTCGTTTTCGGTAAGATATTTTTATTTCTCGATTCTACACCACTTATGAGTCAAGTTGTGAACAATAATTTGGCTCTAATAAGTAAAGGAAGATAGTCTAGTTTGATAATATGCAGGCGGTTCTATGTTTGGTATATTAACAAAGACGCAGTTCACATATTTAGTCCCTCGCCTTTGTTACGTTGACGATCTTCATGAATATTGTCACATTGGCAATATTCATGAAGATCGTCAACGTAACAAAAGCGAGGGACTAAATATGTAAATTGCGTCTTCGTTAATATACCAAATATAGAACCGCCTGTATATTCTCAAACTAGACTATCTTCCTTAACTTTGAGCCAAATTATTGTCCACAACTTGACTTATAAGTGGTGTAGAATCGAGAAATAAAAATGTCTTACCGAAAACGAAGCACGGAAGTTCTTCCATCTTGTTACGCTGACGTATCGTCAGCGTAACTAGGTGAGTACCAGTGACCCTGCCTCACCAAATTACACAGAAGGTACTTTGTCACAACATGTAAATTATACTACAGTAGATCTTACTAAAAACTATGTGATTTGATTTATGAACCATTATACATGTACATGTAGCATAATAATCCAAGTAATAAATGGATAGTAGTAAAGTATACAGATATTTTATATTTGTTCATGGAGTTTTCAGATTGATTGACAGCCAAAATGTCAAATCTCCCCAGACAAAAAATTAAATCATGCAGTTTTTCACCATTTTGAGCACTTTTCAAGTGATTTTTGGCCAAAATTGTCAGATTTGAACCCGCTCTTAGTAATTTTCAAACCCTGAACCCTCCTTGGCAAAAGCTGACTTATAATGGAGCCCTGGAAATTAGCCACTTACAAATATATCCCCATGTTTTGAACATCATTGGCATCATTTCATTGGTTAAATTATGGAAAGTATAGCCCTATATACTATATAGGACTTCAGCATGTTTATATGGAATCCTTCTGAATGTGGAAATTTCCAGAGATTTGGAGGAACCTCTGAATTCCTGTCTAAAACCCCCATTTTTCGTTTCTTTGAAATGTCTGATAAATGCTCATATATTTGCCACTTTCATATAAGTGATGTTCATAACATTATTCATATATTTGTTTCAATTTTTAAAAACCAAAGAAGAACCAAAACAATTTTCCACACTCATAATTTGTAAGGCACCTTGTGTCTCAAAGTGGCACTTTTATTTTGGGTCACTGAAGTAAAGAATTGTGTTTCAAATTATTCTGTAATACATGTAGACCTAAGTATGCACTTCCTATATATGGAGGCTTGCTTGCCTTTGATATTTTTCATAATACATGTACTTGCATTTGTCCCTTTATATTCATTAAAAACCATTGCCTCTTAGAAATGTAAGGAATCACATATAATTGTATATACGTTTTACAGAAGTGTTTTTTCTTATTTTTCTTATTTCAGTCCTATATTATAACTTTATTTCTTTATTTATATGTGTACAGTACTATGCTTTGTCCAATGAATAGTATAGGGATAAAACCTACTTGAATGTTTTGCATGCAATCATGGTTTATTCCCAGGATGTCAGCTTTGACCCAGTTTTTTATAATAGAGCCTTACTAGATTATATAGAATTTATTAGACTCTGCAATAAAATCAGGGCCTATGCTTGACAGGTAAACATTTTATCTGTTCGATCAAGGAGATTAGAATCTGATGTTAACTTTAACACATATTGTGACAAGGTCTAGAGATTTAAATTTCAATCTCTTACTTCTTAAGTACTAGTACTGTATGAGTGGTAATTTTGCCTTATCATTTAATTTGCCTATTACCTATTTTTTTGCCAGGTTTGGATAATTAAATGACGGAAATATTATCTTCATAATGTTATCCAATGGGAAGTTACTTGTCATTAGGAAAATTAAAATTAGGAAAATGATAAGATTTGACCATTCTGCAAATTGGCCACTCAGATAAATACCATTTATACAGTAAGTGATCGAACAACTCCAATATATACTTTAAGAAGCAACCAAAATTAATACAATTATAAATTATATAACATAGTATGTACATTTGTACTTTAGGCCTGAAGCCTTTTATTCAAACAAATATTAAATGACAGACTGCACATAATAAAATATTGGTGATTTTTTATTTTTTTGCAGTGATCTCCCCAGCATTAAAGCAAATAGGCGCTGCACCCACATTAGATTTTAAAAATAGGCTTGTACCCACCTGAGAATTCATTTGCACCCACTTGAAAATGAGAAAAATCATGAAAAAGGGAATAATTTGTCCAAATGGGGTGTAATTTGTGAGATTTAGAATTTTGCACCCACTTGAGACAAAATCCTGGAGAGACTGCATTGTTGAAGCTAACCTGGGGTGATTTGATTTGTGTCAGGGTGGTGGTGATATCAATATTATCATGGAGAACAGTACTATGCAGTATTAACAACTCCCAATGATGTTTTTCTGCTTGCAGGTAGTAGGCGCAATTCCTGAAGTTGAAGGTCTCAAGCATACACCATGACTTGAAAAACATGTAAACCCCAGACCAGACATTCACTATTAGTAAGGCCTGCAAAATCTTAGAACACCTACATGTGAATGGAGGATGGCTTCCTTATTTATTACAACGATGAATGAGCGATGATGAAAATATAAACTTCAATGTACCTAGTTACATAAAATGACATACATGTAAAACTGCAGTAATAATTGAATCAATCACAAACATTAGCCATGTCAAATCATACGCAAAGTGAATATCATAGTACCGAGGGTACACATGTATCACATATACATAGTAACCATATTGAATATGAGAAAGTGCATTTAGAGGAATATGAGAAAATGGACCAACATAACAATGAGAAAGAACTAACTGTTGAAGAGAAACAGGGATTACTACACCCAAGGGCTCTCTTGTTCTGTGGCTTGTGGTATTTCTTTAGCTTTTGTACTCTGTTCTTGAATAAGTACATCTTATCTACCCTCAAAGGAGACCCCACTTTATTAGGTACGTATTTGTGAATGGGTTAGAATGTGCAGGGTTTCATGATGTATTATTTATCATCCATGCGGGAACTGCTAAATAGCCTCTTCAGTGTAAATCATTATTAAAAGATTAAACCACCAGCCTCAATAAATTTTTTAATCCATTCCCACATGTGTGTTTGTATGCAGTCTTTAAAATCAATGTACAGGTTGATAGTATATTATACAAAAATTGAATGTTTGGTTCATTTATAATTGATCTCATGTACAAGATATGCAGGTACTGATTCAACAATGCATTTTAATAGACCAATCAAAAGCTCTGAAATCCTGTAATGCACTCATAGCTTTGTGTTAAATATGACTTATAATTATTTTAACTACTTCAGCTATAGTGATCATAGGCAAATTCAATGACACGCTGCTCAGGGCTCTCAATTGAATTGTCACATTATTGGAAATCATTTTAATGAGATGAAAATCATGAAAATCATGTCAGATCAATTATGTTTGAATTGTTGTATTTTGTTAGCAGATACACAATCAATTTTTGAATTGTTATATTGCTTGGAGATATATTGACCCATAAAGCAACAAGGAGTAAATCATACTGCACAAATTCAAACATGTATAATTTAAGTGTACATGTATAGGAGTGTAAAATATGTTAAGTCCTTACTAAAAGTCAGTCAATGGGATGAATTTTGAATTTTTGAATTTTTCACGCTTCTTAATTTTAGATTCATTATTTCTAGTTCAAACCCTTGTACTCTATGTATTGCATCTGGTTTTAGGCGCCATGCAGATGGTGATGACCACATGTTTTGGCTTCATCCAGATGTATCTACCACTTGGAATGTATAAACCAATAGAAAGGGAAGGAAAACCTCCACATTTCTTCCGCAATATGTTACTAGTTGGAGTTATGAGGTAATAAGCCAGATAAGTTATCTTTCGAAAGATCATCAGTGGATCCACGTGTCATTCTTTTCATGATTTGTTTTGTTGGAAACACCCCCCCCCCTAATTCACAAGTAATAAAATAACCTTTATTGATTGATGTAAGTATTGTGTTTTAGTGTCATAATCATATTTTAAGTGTCAAACTGGCAGTATTTTGAAATAGACAATGTTCAAGACTATAGCACTGCCACTGAGTATGTTAAAGTGTATCATATTGAACCAAGCAGAAGCAGCAATCTCCCCAGGTTTTTCTCAACTGGGTGTAAAATCTATGGTCAATATTTCTATCATTTTGATGGGGCGCAATAGATGTTGTACAGATTATCATATAACCCAACAAGCAGTTGCTCTCATTGTTTATGAAGCAACTGTTTTAAATAACTGTATTTATAATTACATATTTTATTTCAGATTTACAACAGTGGTGCTTGGATTAGTCGCACTGAAGTTTGTTGCAGTATCATTCACAGAAACTGTTAAAAGTTCCGCCCCTATATTTACAGTTATCATTGCTCGATTACTTCTCCGTGAAAGAACAGGCTTTTTTGTTATGGGCTCCTTGCTTCCTATCATGGGGGGATTAGCGCTATGTAGTGCATATGAACTTAGTTTTAACATCAAGGGGTTTATAGCTGCCCTTGCAACTAATCTAACTGAATGGTGAGTCATTTCATGAAGTAATTTCATGAAGTAATTTTACTTTGCAAAAACATACAATATCCACTGAAGTCTTTCTGCTTGGGAGTATTCTTCCATCCGACATCAATATGAAGGTTGATTTTCATGTCTGTTTTCAGTTTCATACAATGTCAGTAGGAATGAAATATTATATTACAAAGTACACAAATCATACAAAATGGGTATTGTTTTATGAAGAATGTTCTGATTTCAATGTAACTAATTTATTTACTTTGACAGAAAATATCTCACATTTGAAATACAGTCATACTTACTCAACTATTGGACCATTTTTATTGCATTGATTTTATGATATACTAACAGATAAACATGCATAATTAGACAGATATCATTATATATGGAGCTTTATTGAACTCATACATGTAATGAAAAAATTAGACTGGGGTAAATGAGTTAAATGTTTAGCATGTACTAGTCTATTTTAAACTGTGTATTACAAAAAGATATTGATATCCGAACACTTTCTGCCAGTCTGATCAGCAGGTTTCACAGTCGTTTTGTTTATTTGCAGCTTACAAAATGTTTACTCAAAAATGCTGGTTAGCGGAGAAAAGTTTAGATATACGTAAGTCAGTCTTCCTAAGATATTTTAGAATTGTCATGAAATGGTATAGCAAGAAAATGAATAATTAAAAATAGAATTACGTGAGTATATTTTCAGAACAAACTTTAAAAGTATGTAAACCAGACCACATGTTGCATTATGTCAACAATAAAATATAACACATGCATTATAAGTATTGATTCATTGCTAATTTCCCATGTGCTGATAAAATATTTGAAATTAAATCACCAGTAGGAATATTGGATCTTTTATGTATAAGTTAAATTTGCCCCACATTTGTGATGTGAACTTAAATGCTTATTCCACATAATTTGAAAATAGTAATACAGCAGCATTGAATCAGAAAATACAACATTAACATCTTAAAATATGTTCTTCATATGTTCAGAATGATATAAAGTCCAGATATTTATTATTTCATAATATAGGAATCTCTGGAGTGAAAAAATACAAGGTGTCTCATAATTGTTCCATTTGCATTTTTATATAATCATGGCGTATCAAACTTATTCTTATTTATTTTTCCAGACCAGCAGAGCTGCAGTTTTATACTAGTGTGTCATCTGTAGTGGTCCAAATACCTGCTTGTTTTTTCCTAATGGACATTCCATATGCCAGAAAGAGCACTGACAGTACTATGATGGTTGCTCTTGTCTTAAATGGGATGTTCTTCCACTTTCAAAGTATAACAGCATATGTTCTCATGGGCTATATCTCCCCAGTAACTCATAGGTGAATAATATGATTTATATCTCACAACAGTAGTTCTCCATGGAAAACATGAATCAATAAATAAATCTCACCATCAAGAAATAGTTACATATTGCCAGCATTTTTTGGAACTGGTGTTTGACTTTGGCATTGGCATTTGGTGTCCAATAGATTTACACTTTTAATTGCAGTCAGTTGGTTACACATTGTCATGTTATATGATCTTTTTCATTGAAATACACACATTCATATAGTTTACCTATAAAAGTACAGTGTTAAAACTGTAATAAATCTTAAAATTTCAAGAAGACACTTCAAATTAATAAATGTATAACTGCCAAGGAGAGAAGATGAAAGGTTTACCATATGATCCTCTCATCAATATATGCTGTTCAGCTTTCAAGACCTCTAAAAGGACATAAGATACAGTTTGATATAGCTAAATGATCAAATTGTGAATGTATATTCAAGACATCTTATGAGGTCCATATAAAACATAACCTGTATACCTCTTCTATTTTCAGTGTTGCAAATACTGTAAAAAGGGCCTTCCTAATATGGCTGTCAATCATAGTGTTTGGAAACCCAGTGACATTCCTCAGTGGACTAGGCACGGCCACTGTAATGGTAGGAGTGCTGTTATATAATAGAGCTAGGGAATTTGAACGTGTACAAAAACTGAAAGCAGTGTCTCAGCTGAGGACAATGGAACTAAAAGAGGCTAGCCCTGTATGACAACACTTCCTTGTAGGATAGAATTAGATGAATTATATTTTTAGAATGACTTAGCTAAACACACATGACATACTGTAAACACTATTGTAAAGTCCTGGTTTATTCTTTCACCCTCACGAATACTCCGGGAATACTGCTTGCTCAACAAGTCATTAGTTCGTCAAAAATCATTAACATCAGCCAATCAGAGTCAAGCTCTAGCACTCGACTAAAATGGTTTAGGACCCCAGCCATAGCAGGACATCTTAGCATTAAAACATTTTACAAAGGAAGTGTAAATCAATTGATTTTTCTAAAATGTTTAATCCAAGAAGGAATGCTATGTGTCGTGTAAACTGGGCTATTGTCAAAAAGACAATGAAAGAGAATGGAAGAAGGCCTGGTATGACTGACTACTCTGAATTCAGGGTGCTATTCTCATGACATTTTATTGAAATCCGCTCTTAGTGAGGATTCATATTATATTATTGCGAAAATGAAATTCTTAACATAATTTTTTTATAGTTTATTTTGTTTGAAAATTTGCAAAGGACACTGTTTGTTCAAGATGATATAAATGATTGAAAGATGATATGATTGATTGAAAGATGATATGAATGATTGAAAGATGATATGATTGATTGCAAGATGATATGAATGATTGAAAGATGATATGATTGATTGAAAGATGATATGAATGATTGAAGAATGATATAAATGATTGAAAAACCTACATATATTGAATAATCAATAGAGGTGTACGCGATAGTTCAGAATGACAACAATATTCTCACCTCCCCTTTTGAAGAGCTCCAATTCCGAGAACAGATTTTTTACATCCGGGTTTTTTTCCATTGAAATATACTGAGTCCGATTTTGAACACATCATTTCAGCATTATTTGACATTCCTCTTCACGGATATTTGCACAATCGATAAAAATATAGGTCCTTATGGCAATTTTCCAAGCGTTTTCACGAATATTTTTCGAAACTGACGATAATCATGAAATGTTCTTTGGTGACGTCACCGACTTAGTTACCGGAAGCTGAGCCTCGATGACTCGATATGAAAAAGAAGCGAGTTCTTGTGTATATAACGCGGGTTTGATGTCATGTTTTTATATGTTTGACTTATATCAATTGTGAGGGTTGTTACTTGAAATTAGTATGACCTTTATCGTCCCGACAATACGCGAAAACATGGTTTTAAGGTTGGGAGAATTTGGTTTAATCACCGGACCATTGAAAATTTGTCCCATTCGAAGTGATGCATTGCGGGAGATATTTATGTTAATGACCATGTTTTCGTCTATCGCGTATTAGTCTATTGAGAGGTGCTGTCAAAAATGATATCAATAATAATTACATATATGTAAGCAATATCAATGATAACTTAAACATTGTCCAAAAAATTATATTTTTAGAGATGCGACATGCCTTTACTTTTTGAAAAAGTTGGACAATCAAAATCATATTTGTGTATGAAAAACTATCAAGACTGTTCCTTCATGAAAGTTGTTTTGAACTTACATGTACATGTTTATTATAAGCTATCAGCTGGGCTTATCTGAAAGTTCAGGAGAAATAATTATGTTAAGCATCAACAATTCACTTGACTGAATGCAGCAAATTAATGTTAATTGTAATAGTATATATCTATCATTGTGATATATGTCTTTGCGATATTAATGAAGTCTTTCTGCAAGATTTCCACACTTGAAATGGAAGGAGATGATTTGGTACATGTTAAAATGGAAGTCAGGGCACTTAACACAGTTATGTTATACTTTGATAACTGAGGCACCATTTTATTGAAAATAGATGGAATTTGGAAATTATAATTCAACTTAATAGAACAGACAGACCAACATTAGTAGTTTGATATCCAAAAGCTTTAAACTTTATAATTTGCTGAGGCCTTGGACAACTTGTTCTTTTATTGGTCAGACCTATACCATGATGATGTATTAATAGTTGAAGATGAGGATTATTGAGTGAAGTTGGGATCATCTATTAAAAAGTGCAGTTCAAATTTTCAACCGTAATGTAGCATTAGTTCACATCCTGTGATTCACTGAAGAGAAACATGTAAATATTGTAAACATGCTGTAGTTGGCCTACAATGTACATTTAACATGCACAAAGTTTTTGTTTTCTTCTTAACCCTTAAATAGTTAGGGGTGGGTGGTGGGGAAAAACCTGCCCCTAAGGTATTTGTTAATAGGTTTTTGTAGTTTGTCTTTTGATCTGAAACTTTCTGGCTTTTCTTCCTTGTTTTGACTTTAAATGATAAACCCTTATAATACTGGGGATTGAATAAACTTTCCAATGATACCTAATACAACTTTCCAATGATACCTCATTGTTCATTTCCGAGATCACAGATATGCCCCCCTAACCATTGGTGTAAATCTCCGCCTAACCATTTAAAGGTAAAAGGAATTCAATGATTGAAATGACCAAATATTGTTTTTTTAACATTTTCTGGAAAGACTGAAGTAATAAATTATTTCCAATACATTAACATGGTTAGAAATGTACCTTTTTCCTTGGACATGTTGGAGGGATGTATCATAATTATCATTGGAAATGTTTTAGAAAAAAGCTCTACAGAGTTTAAGTTTGCATGATAAAGTATTGTTTATGGTGTCACATTTTGCTTGGTCATTTGCAAAAAGTAATCAAACAGTATTTAATGAAATGGATATTTGTCAAGAACTGAGGACAATCTATTCAATTCCACATTGAACCCTCAGCAAAATAACTTATTTTTATTATTATTATTTAGAATAATATTTCAGATATTTCAGATTTATTTTAAAAAAGAACAAAATTGTTGTGATGATAATATATGACTATATTTTGCTCTTAATTTTCCCTTTATCTCTTCAATTTAAGTGCAGATAATAAACCAAACAGGTTAATTTATTTGAACACGAATGTACATGTGCTTGGAAAATAGAAGTATGGAGTAAACATCTACCATATTTTCTTTTTCTTGGGAAATAAATACACAACTAAAAATGGGATAAAATAAGTTATCATTCTTTGTTATTGATTTGCATTAGGCTTTGTATAAAAAACCTCGTACCTCATACCCACCTACCCATCTACGAAGAACATGATACAGTCATTGAAGGGTTCAATTTAAAGATTTTTAAATCTCAAAATAGCTCTAATTATTAACATTTCTACAATTCGGGCTTTATTTTATGACTCTACGGATGACAGATGCATAGATAAAGGCATATAGGTGCATTGTAATGTGTAATGACCCGAGGGCACCCCAGGGGAATAACTAACTAACGACTGTGAGCATAGGTCCAACAAGCCAGAAAAAGAAATTGAAAGAAAGTGTGCTAAACTCGAGGCCCCGAGTGGGAATCGAACCCAGCAGGGCTGTAGTAGCAACATGCTATCAAGGGTCGTTACAAATGCATCTATAATTCATCATAAACTAAGATTTAATAAACTAAGATCTCTAAAATTGAACCCTTCAAAGACTGTATCATGTCCAACGTAGGTGGGTAGGTGGGTATGAGGTAGGAGGTTTTTATACAAAGCCTGATCTTTACTGGATCACAACACAATTTAGCAGAAGGGTGATCAGTTGATTTAAACTTGACATGGGCCGATTCATTTTCTCTGGGTATTATATTTTAAGGCCCTCGCTCTCTGATGAAGCGTTGTCTGTTGTGCTCATTAATCTAAATCACACCACAATCATACCATACCCCTATCATGTCATACCCCAATCATACCATGCCCCAATCAAACCTTACCCAAATCTGGCCAATCATACCATACCCCAATCAACCCTTACCACATTCATACCATACCCCAATTATGTCATACCCAAATCAACCCTTACCCCAATCATACCATACCCCAATCAAACCTTACCCCAATCATGCCATACGTTGAGCTGTTAAAATCATGAAATTGTCATGCGCATCATTCCTGTTAAATGTAATCCTTCAAGACACAGTAAAATTTGCTACACCACGACACTAGTTTATTTTCTCAATTTTGCAATTATTGTAGATATAATATTATTGTACATATATATATTATATATATGATCTTATGATACTGTATAATATATATGTATATGGTGGAGGTCTCAAAGTTATTCCCATAGTGAATGTCCTTGGATCAGAAGAAGGAATATTGTTGTCCTCCTCAGGATAGAACTTGAACTTTTGTAAGAAGCATGTCACCATAAGAAAAAGCCGCGCTTTGGCAAGATTTTCACCCAAACACACCCGTCTACCAGCACCGAATGGCAGGAAGCTAGAATATACATGATATAATGGTAACGAAAAGAACACTTATATCATAAATGTTGAAACTTCTGAGTGGTGCTTTTGAAACTACGTTCAATGCAATCACACATAGTGCTTTCAGGTGTTCTCATACCCCATTCCTAGAAACCTCCCAAGATAGGAAAGCTGATCATTATTTCCATTCGGGTGTTTAACTGTAAAGGGTCTCCTTTCTCCCTCTTTCAACTCGTTTTTAAATATCCGATTTTGATACCGCATGTCATATAGTGCTCTTGACTGATCATTCTGCTGTCTTAACGATTTCTTGAAAATTCAGAATTTTGAATTTTGTACAGCGTTTGAGGTGTTCTTGCTCAGAGGCCAGGCATTTCAGTCATCTGATTTTTACCATTGCTTAATTATTCTTCATTTTTCATTAAAATATTAAATTAGACTTTGATCTTACGTCCTCTTTGGAATTTCTCTCTGAATTTCTCATAAAATCTCAAGATATGATTTTGTCAAAATGTTGATTTTCCGAAAATTGGACACATTCTAAGATCACCCATGATATCACAAATAATCAATTTTATGAAACAACCTTTAGGCCTATATCATATTATCATCAATAGATTCTAGTTAATGCACACAAAAGATTGGGTTGATAGGGATAGGTATTTCAGAAATAATTACACTTTTAGAGGGTTCTGTTTTTTGGGGTCACCCAACGACTAATAAGTACACTTACAGAGTCTTGAGGCAAGACTATCAAACAACGCTATTGATAAAATATGATAACTTCTCCATTACTATAAAAATAGTTTTTTAAATTTTTTTGTATTCAGTTATCCAACGACCAAAGAGATCATCTCTTACACGCAAATATTCCACAAGAACCTTATAGGCTCTATTTCCAAAGAACCGTAGCCAGGGAAACATTTCCAATTCTATCCCCCCTCCTTGTCCCATTACTTCTTCACTTGTTCTTTCTAGCCGTTCTACTAATCTACTATACCGTAATAGTCATATTCCTTGGAAATAGTTTCTCCTGTTACCTGAAAATCATCATTATTTGTATTTCGAGTATTGCAACAAGTGTTGCTTTATCCCCATATTTAATGTTTTACTCGTTGAGTGCCAATTACAGGGTGTACCAAAAATGCAACCAACCCAACAATTCATATCTTTTTAACCAAGAGTTTAACAAAATCTTTTTTAGCATAATTAAGTTCACACGGCATGTGGAAGTCTGTCTGTGGAGAAGTGTTAGCCATTTGTAGCACATTCTTCAAATGAACAGCAAATGGGACATACACATTCTACAATGATGAAACTTTGTCAACTTAAAGAACATTAACCAACTTATAAATTATGATGAAAAAATTGTCAAACTCTATTGGTTATGCTTTGTTAAGTGGGTTGCATTTTTGGTACACCCTGTACTTCGGGAGTAGCTCATCCACTTCATTCATTTCGAAAACCTTCTGCTACTTACTATAGTTATCATCATTTTCATTATACACCTATAGACAGGTTCCCGAGGATCTAAAAGCTAGACTAAAAGCTATTGAAAACGGCGCCGGAGTATCATAATCATACTCCAAAATGTACCATTTCTTTTATTTCTTTTTAATGGTACAACAAAGTGACATGATAATATTTACATATGTTTTAAGCATAACTCTGAAGGTATTAATGAGATCTTGATGTCTTTGGTATTTTTAATTTTTTTTCATAAAAAAAAATGCTTCATTTTTTTGTCCGCTGTGACATTGCATTTTCAAATCTGAAGTACGTTAAGAATTTAGATTTATAATATATACTTTACAACTACACTTAAGAGGAGCGAGCGTGTCAAATCTCTTTCGTAAAGTATTCTGAAAAATGAAACGTAATAAAGTACAAAATTCAAATTCTGAGATGTATATACGACAACTTTTAAGCTTTTTTCTCAGTTTGTACTGCAATCCAACTTATATTGCATGGTAACTCATGGAAATGATAGTCAACTTCATTTCAGTGTAGGGTATTTGCCTTTCGTAGTGCCTAATGTCGATCTATCGCCTGATATGGTCATTTTTACGGTAACTTGACTATTTGAAGTAAAATTATTTGATGAAGATGAAGCTAAATACATATAATGGTATGAACTGTGGATTGTTAGTCGTTCCAAAAGGTAAGTGGAGTGTATCTTGAAATACGAAAATGCAAAATTTGATTTTAAGATTGTTCTTTATTTGAATAAGAGTTATGGTCATCCGATGCAACTACAGTAAAACATGTGTACAGTGAACACATATGGAGCCCAAAAAATGTGTTCCAAGTTGGTAGATGTTCACTCTATAGAGGCAATTTCATACAGAAGCCAGAGGAATATTTGATAAGAAGAGGTTTTCACTAGAGAAAGATATATATTCATTGATACAGGTTTTACCGTGCAGCACGTTTACCAAAACCTTTTTTTTATATCTTTAGTCTATGCAAAACGACGAAGCACCAAATAACACCAAATTAAATCTTTATTTGGATCATCTTATATACAGTAATATTATGTGGTAAAGGGTATGTACGCCTGTCGGAATGCAGGATTTCTGTGCGCTATTTCGAATACATTCATATTAGCCCTATTTTACACGTGACATTCCAAGACGTCTTGGCGAAAACGTATTAGAAATATTATGTTGAGTTTACACCATGTTGATTTCATGTTTGGGGTTCATATCGGGTGATTTTTCCACATTTGGAGCATGTCTTTTAAAATGGCCATAAAACACAAAGTGACCATTAACAGTAGACCGTTGAAACTTAGAATGAAAGAATATTGAGCAAGGTTTAATTGTGCCAAATATGAGTTCAAATCGCTGCTGGATGACTGAGTTATTCAAATTTGTTATATTTTTTGGCTCACCCTGTATGTTTCATATCTTGTTTTAATCACTTTGCAATTTGATTAAAAATACACCATCCAATGGACTCAAAACAAGATATGTCTGGGTTACAATGATCAGGACGACCGAGATGATCTTTTTATCGTTATGTCATCTTACTGTAAACGATTCATGTGTATTATAAACTGACTAAATTAAAGGTTCTAAGAGGTACGGACGTGGAAATGGCATTTTCTTCGATAAGGTTGCTTTTTGCTTCATGTATTTATATTAAATAAATAAAGATGTTTTGTTTGGTCACACGGGAACTAAGCTCATTTATCTTTATGTCCGCGCGCATCCCTTGCTACCGTAGACGATGTTGTTTGGCTTCACTAAAATTATCTCATTTTTCTCCTTATCATTTTAAATCGTACACAACATATACCCGCCTCAGATTCATATTCTGTCTACACCTAATCATGATAATTGCACGTACCCAAGGCAAACTAAGCATTAGTTAATAATTATCATTCTGAAGATATATTTTCTGAAATTGACATTATCTCTAAAATGCATAACCGTGCCAGAATGGCGAGGCAAAATCAATTTAGTGAGGCAACTTTTAGCTAAAACGCTATCAAACACGATCATTAGTTTTCAAAGTATCAGTTGAACGGTTGCATGAATGACAGAAATCGATGTAAATTTTTAGCGAGGAATCTCGCCTGCCTCATTTCTGGCTACGCCCATACGAGTGTACATCTTGAATGATGTGGTAGCTCAACTGCCAAAAAGAATGAGATGTGGAAAATATATTCCGCCCCTTAAACGCTTTGAGTTCTTATTAGATGCAAGATACGCCATACGTTAGCTACAAGTCTGGACCAATTTACACAACTATTTTCCTTGCATCGGCCTAATGTGATTATACAAAGACATGGGTTTTCAAGAGAACGTTATGGAACTTCCAACATTCCATAAATTAGCGTATGCCCTGGTTTTCAAAATTGGAGGAAAGCACATGCAAAGAAAAATGTTGCTTTGCATTTTTCAAACTTAATTCAAAGAAATAACGCAAATATAAAAACATGATGTCATGCATATATTTTGATAATAATATACAACATAGAATTGAATTAGGAACACAAAATGCAAACCAAACATCATAGCCATCTGCCAGAAACTAGAAGCGCATGTTCCTACGGAAATTGTATTTTTTATTAGAATGTAAATGATTACACATACCAATGCAATTAATTAATATAGGTCCATAATTACATAATAAGCATTTTGTTATCTTCAATATTGTGTTCTCTTCCATTGTGACTGCCATAAGATATTGACACGGGCACACGTTTAATGACATCTAATGAGATGAAATATAAGCTCAAGATGAAAGTGCTATCTTGGACCATGTACCACCAAATCTTATATTCAAATGGCATCTAATTAGTGTGGGAGCAAAAGTCCAAATAAGAGGCTCCGTGTCCTTTTTAGAGGCGAGCTAAGCGACATATGTTTTCATGAACTATACGTGATACTGATCAAGAAAAATGATGTTGGCAATTCTGAATCCGCGACGGCGTTGCTATGGTAACCAAGTAAATATGCCACGCCCACTTTTAGGGGCTCTTTTCAGTGTATGGCCCCTATCTCTGTCATTATTGCTCAGATTTATATGAAATTATATGATATAATGGATAATGCAATCAGGAAATATTAAGTTGGTAAATCTGAATCCGATATGGCGTTGCTATGGTAACAAAGTAAATATCCCACACCCACTTTTAGGGGCTCTTTTCAGTGTTTGGTCCCTAT